TCTGTTTTACAAGAAATTAAAAATAAAAATCTCCTGTAATCAATATTAACCAACTGTAAATATCTCACTCCTGTAGGAAGTCAGTCACAACCTGAAGACTTCAGTGGTAACGTCACAGACAGTTTAGATGAGTGACTTAGGTTTCAGTACGTTAAGGAGCATCGGTTTCCACAAGATTACAAGAATAAATTGCTGAAAAGTGCAAAGTAGCAAGAGATCTAGGTTCAGAGTGTCCTACGGCGTGTCACTAACCACCTAAAATAAGATTACATGCATATACCAGTTTATAAACTACAATTCATGACTTGAATATTTATGAGAAGTCAAAAAGAATTTTCGACAAGAACTAGAATCATTTAAAGTCAAGAAGTTTGAACTGCTGTTTATGCCTTAGTTTGAAAAGTCTGAGGGACGCACTTAGAAATTACAAAATAAATCACTCGTGAAAATTTAACCAGTGTCCAGTATGATCGATAATAAGTAGCTTCTATCAGTAAAACTTTAGAAAACATATAACAAAAAGTATCGAGTAATGTGATTAGTTAAAACCTGCCTAAAATGCTCAAAAAATATACATTAAAGCTTTTGATATGTACTCCATATTTATCTGTAATGTGATGGAACAGGTATTCAGGTTGCCGAACGAAAAATTGAAAGTCAAATAGAATATTCCAAACTATAAGATAAAACCAGTTTATTATTGATAACCACAGTAGTATTAGATATTGTTTCGAGAAGATTCTTGAAGTCTACAGACGAAATCGGTTAAAGATTTTCATCTATTCGGTACTTGAAAAAAATAATCAATAATTCGGAACTTCATTCACATAAGACAAACAATTTACTGTTGCATGGATACTAAAATAAGGAAAACCGCCAAATGAAAAATATAGATTCATGAGAAACGAATAAATGACCTAGTAACAGAATATAAATGGATTAGTTCAGATCGACCTAGTTAATCTTCATTATAATGCAACTAATCGTATGAATGCACAAATAGATGCTTTATTTGGCCTACTTCAATTGAGTGTCCCAAAGTAAACTTTTTAGCTAGTGATGCTATTACCAGGTGAAAACAACATTTCTCGGTTTTTAAGTCAGATTTTTATAGAACCGGCGATATCCATAGGTGTATACATGTCTTATCTACTTGATGTACAAAATGTAATAAAATACGCTGTTAGAAACAAGGAAAATTGTCAAGAAAGCCAGGAAATATTGAGGAAAATATATAGAGATCATGGAGTAAAGAAAATAACTTCATGTTGTTGAAATGTTGCAGAGGGATCAGTAAAGACTGATTATTGACCCCTGATGTTTATGAAGATATCAAAAGTATGGGGCCTCCTTATGGTTTCTAATGGCCTATTCACTATTTAAATGATTGGTGATAAATTGACTTTTAAAAAGTCGTCCATATTTACACCACGTTTACAAAATCTGAATTGACTATACAGTTCAAAATTTTGACTTCTAAGAATCTCCACAAACATTTTAAACAATAAAGGGTAGGGTATGATGAGTATACTACTACAAATGTAAAATAATTTAAAGAAAGTAAGATTGACATAGCCTGCTGATTCCAAAATAAGGTTTTTATAGTACCGGTTCACGTCCTCATATATATATATATATATATATATATATATATATATATATGCAGTAACTTCACTAAAAACGGGACAGACTAAATTATTTAATTATCGGATAAATTGACATGTGTTGTAAGAATATGTGTGTATACACGAACTAGATGAGGTTAGTTGTAAAATTCACTAACATAATGACAGATACAATAATAATAATAATAATAATAATAATAATAATAGTAAATAAGGAACAAAAGGGCTTTAAATTATCAAGTTCCGGACTAATAAAAATGGGAAGTATGTCAGTTACAAACCATAGAAAGGGAAAATAATAAATAATGATAATAACATAACGGTAATTTATTATCGGTAAAGTAGGTTAAAGAGTTGGATTACGAAAATATGATTAGGATTCACGAAGATCGTCAGTAAAAAATTTATTTACTGGTGGTTAGTTCTAAAAGACAGTCACCGGAGTTCTAGTGAGAATCCGTGATCAATAAAGTTCGACTATGTCTACTATGAGGCAGTCATTTACCAATGACGTTCGAAGTTGGTTGTACAGTATCGCAATTTGACTGAATTCTGAAGTGTAAACCATTGAGCCTCGCCGAAGCAGTATAAATTTTGAACGCTCACCATGAAGTTTGAAGGTGTTGGGCTCGGTTACCTGTGGGTTTGTAGACACACGTTACTGAATAATCCCGTATTAGAATGAAAAGACTGCCCAGAGCTTGCTGACTTTCAATAACAGTATGTATTGCCAACCATGAATCCTGTTTAGCTTTAATATTTGGGGTGTTTTGACATATAAATGCGTAGTAATCTGATTACTATGTACATAGAACAAATCATAGATACTTACAATGTGCTTATTATTCTGAAAACCACTAATTAAATTACTATATAGTACCAAATAATTCAACTGTAGTAATGAAACAATTGGTCAAATATTTAACCATGACGCTGATTGATACGTGAATCATTACCGTCATTAAGGAACATCGATTTCTTAATGCTCAAAAGTGTATCTTACTAATGAGCACCAACATTGGAACAACACATTGATCAAAGGCAGTTGCTTACAATTGTTTAACACATAAATTATGTAAATATTCATAAGGTGATATATAATACATAAATACAGCTTACAAAAATGATATCAGCGAGAAAATTTCCATTGCTTAAAAACTGCTGTAGTGAACAAGAACTCGAGTGGGGGCAATCGAATGTATTTGAATACAAAATTACAGATCTTACTAAAATCTGAGAACCATACAGTAAATGCATGATTTGCCAAACATCAATCATTTGTCTCAAGCTTCACCGTTTTTTTTGTAAATATCAATCCATCATCTCAGATTTCATTGTTCATGCATTTTCATACCAATTGCTTTCCGTTCCCATTGTTTCCTCCTTGATCTTCTACTGAAATACATTCTATTCCTGACTATCGTTATATACTACTTGTGTGGATATATGTAGCTCACACCACACTACCATTTTTTCAAAAGCATATCTATGTTTTGGGTCCTACTTTTAACCAAAACCATATGAAAGTAAGACATATTGACTAGTTATTTTTTGTTTTCAAAATCCAAAATAATTGCATCCGATTTCCTGTTCAGTGTTCAATGACCCACAATTAAATGTTTAAATAATTGAACTTTAACAACAACAAAAAAAACATTATCGTCTACATGTTATCAATCCATAAATATTTCATAAAATTTACACAGATTGTTTCTATGTGTTTGAAATAAGTAAAAAAAGTACATGATCAAATCACATTGAGATACAGATAGTGCAACAAGTATGAAATTGTGAAATAATCAAGGATAGTGAATAGTAATGAAAATTAAATGAAACAAACAACAGTGTTATAATGGAGGCAGCGATTTTCTAATTTGAAGTGAATTTACTTACATCTAATGAAATGAATTTCATCAATAAAAACTATTTAAATCTAAATAGGACTGTGATTTTGCATCATCAGTAGTGCTCATCAAAGTCAGTTAGTCGTAAGCAACAAAGAGCCTGATACATATGTGAATCTATTCAAGTTCTCACATTATATCAGTATAATGAGATGAAATTATCATGACAAATACTGGAATAGTAAGAGTAATAGTAGACTTAGTGACAACAGGCAGATATAGTGAGAATAATTCAAGAAGAATGAGTCGATTCGTATAACAGAGGGTACAAAATAATTTTAAAATTCAAGATCTAAGACAAAATAAAGAGTGAATGAACCTATGCCGTTGTGACCCATACCGATCCTTGTCACACATCATCTACAACCATTATTTACGATAATGTCGGGACCAAACCAAATGGTCTTCACTTATGAATATGATATAGCTCAACAGTCAGGAAATTCATGGCTTAATGTCTCGACTTAGTTTGGTTGCTTCCAAGTTACTCCCAACATACTACCACTCCAACCAAGCATCGAGATAGGCAGTGGTTGGTTGTACAGGATATACATTATAATCACTTAAATTGATGATTTGCTATCTTAACAACGGATTTTTTAATGTTTGCCTAGTGCTTTGAGTATAACCAATACTCTGGCAAAGCTAGAACCCAAGAAGTTTAGTCTTTGGAGTGAGCAGTTTGTTCATTACACTAATTGACTATTACTAGTAATGGTTTATGTTACTTAATTCAAACAGTTTTTGTTAGTGTGCTTCTAGCATACATTGTCATCAGTTATGACTGTCTTACACAGTTATTCTTAAAATCCACTGTCATCTACTTCTTACTAGGACTTCAGGAAATGATCTAGAAGTTAATCACTAGCAAATACACCGTTATTGTTAGCAAGATAAGCTCGCGGAGATTGCTAGTTATCATAAATTGATTGAAGTTGGATGGAAACTAGATGATCTGAAAAGTAACACGTTCGCCGTTGAATCCGAAAGTTCTGAGTTCAGTTACTGACATGGTCATGGGTGTTTACTGCTGCAGAATCATATAACAGGACAAAACATCTGTCGAATACTTCTCGATTTCCAATAGTTGTCTAGATAAAAATGGTTTGTGATGTACATATGACAGCGTTTTGTGTGCATGGGTGCATATATAAATATATATTCATTTAATCAGATTTGTTGAAAACTCGCAAGAATTTTATTTGTGAATTTTTATTGATATATTTATAAATGTGTATTCATACGTACACACATATTACCAGTCAACACTTACACATCGATAAGACTTGGACTAGAAGGTATGGTAATACTTCGCCAACCTTTACCATATCTACAGGAATAAATCAAATCAACATAGCAAAATACTGATATTTAAACAAAACAAAAAAAACAATAAAATAAATAATTAACAATAATATTCAATAGTCGATTCTAGTTTTTCTATGGATATTCATTAGTTCATTTAACTTACGCTCGTTCAATATTCAATCTCTTTGATTGATTCTTTCCATTAAGGGTAGATTTTGGAAGTGATGAACTTTTTTCATCTGTACAATAAAAATATATACATGAGAAATCCGGAAATTAAAACAGAAAAAAAAGAATAATCAGACAAAAAATCCAAATATTTAAAGATTAAGTGGAAGACAGTTAATCCTCATTTTAAATGATTTTAACAACTTTGTAGAATATAAAGAATTCAATTCAGAAGTTTTCAGGATCAGTGCTGAATGCAAATTCCAGTGACATTTAAAAATATTTACAGGGAAGCACATTTAACTGTAGTGTTGACCACTGTCAGACAAATATAGTCTTATGTCAAAGAATGACTTCAATTAGACAATCATTACAAACCAGGAAGTATTGGATAGCTGTTTCGTGCTAGTATGAGACTACTCAGAAATTCATTATAACGAAGTAACTGGGAATTGCTGTTTGAAGGTATTACGAGTTCACCTAATCTGAGAACCGAACAAAGACTCTGTGACACATTAACAGATAAGCTAGCTATTCCGACGCGTCACAGCTCAGTCTCAGTTAGGAAGAGGGAAATATATTCCACAAGCAGCCAGAAGAACGAACAACCACAACCACAATAGTCGGAAATGCACTCATTTATATATTGATTCATACACCCATTTTTGACTAATAATTACGATGAAATCACATATATAATAAATCATATACTCATTATAGTTCATGTTAACTTAATACAAGAATATCGTGTATTATACCGAATAAAAAGATCATACGGGAAAACAAAACCGAATATTACACTGAACAATCATCATATTGAATTAAAACGGAATTAATGTTGAACCAAAAATCATAATTAATAAATCAATCTAATTTTCACTTTTCATCCCGTCATATCAATAATCTAGCTCAAGACATTCAGGTATCTCTGAGGACGCTTAAACTTGATATAATTCAATTGGCATCCACTTACTTGTATTTCTAAATTCATTTAATTTTCAATATCACAAAACTTATTCGTTGCCACCGATAGTATTTAATTGATGCATGATATGTTAATCTATAATGGTCACGATTTTTCCATAAAACTCCTTAAATTAACCATCAAAGTTAGATACTAGTAGGCGAACGATGACTTCTTGTCTAAAGTCAGCTTAAAATTCAAAGCTATAAAGTTCAATAGACTTTACAGTACGCTATACTAAAGAAGTACAACTTTGTACTTTTGCACTACATTTCCGGTATAAACAGTTAGAAACTGGTATAGTCGAATCAGAGTTTCTTCATTGGAGATAATTCAAATACACATAGTAAACAGTTTCGTTAGTGTATTTTATACCCATCAACGTTGTTTGAATGCAATACTTAACATACATAATATGTATCCATGACATCAATTCCACAAGAGTTATTCTTTATAAACATATAAAAACATTTATTCTATTTACTAATTTATCATTTTGTTGAATAATTCAACCCAAATGGTGGGCAAGATTTTCATTCATTGAAGTATGAATAACCTACAAAATTGATCTAATACGATTATCCATAATATTTGATAATATTGTAATTCAGTTCATAGTAATATAATATGATATTCAATGAACATAACATGGCTTATAGGTTTAATGGTAATTTAGTGTAAAATTCACCTTTTATTTAAAATATATTCAGTTATTTATGATTTACATAGACTAATTATCAAACATTAGTATAAATGAATTCATTGAACTAACAAGCGGTCAACATGTTTTTAGATGAATAAAATTTACATCTGCCATCAGGTTTATCTTCTTCTGTGTATCATGTAAATTCTAGTCTCTTCTGTTTGAAATGTCAGTTAACCATATATATATATATCATCAATCTTTAAAAAGTGTCATAAATGCATACTGTTTAAGAGTAATTAATGAATAAAAGGACGAAATATCTGTTCAGCGCACCTTGTTCCTCTTTTTAATTATTTTCCAACTGAGATTGTTCTGACATATATACTATCATTACAGTTTAGTTCGCTATTTACTGTTGCTATGAAACGAACTTATTTGTACACTACTTTTTAGGATTTGAACCCTAACTACGCCTACTCTAGAATTTCAGTCAGAAACATCACTATTGACCTATACAAACAGTGCATTTTGAAAATAAATACTCTTTATAACCTTTTTACAGAATGCAATGAAAATTCACTATGTAGGGGAATATTTTTGCTTACCTTTTAAAATATTTGTTGAATTGTTTATCGTCTCGATATTATGTTGTTGCTCAGAAGGAGAAGAAGAGGAGGCCTAAATTAGTTAATTTTTGTCAGGAAAAAAACGAAATTGCGAAGTCAGTATAATGCAGAATATGAATCGTGGAGAAAATTTTAAACGATCTAGAAAAACTAACGGTTTTGTAGATTTATATACTACTAATTCATATGATTATCGTTATAAGTGATCCAAGGATATGTTCAGAATCAGTCACAATAGCACAAATGCACTCATTGTTTGGCTATTTCTCTGAATCTTAAGTTATCAGGCTATCTTACTCTTTTTTTCCGCAAATTCACTCTTCTTTTTGAATCATTATATTGGTAATGCCTAGAGTTTTCTTCTTCTACTATCACTATTACTACTGATCTTATTACTGTCTCTACTATTCTCAATTGTCTTGATAATTTTATCTCATTGTGTCAATATGCTATGGCGACTCGGATCAGTGAATGTGTGCGCCACGTGCTTGATTGATTATGACTGATTAATTAATAGCAAAGTAAATGGTTCAGAATTGTAATCCAGAAACCAACACCTGAAAGTCATCAATTTCAATTCATTTTTGAGTCCAAGTATGAGTTTCTATAATATGTTACGCATTTTACTTTCCCATACAAAGATTGATGATACTAACCAATCATTCACAATTGAATAGTTTAAAAAATTATTACTTCAAACAATAATCAGTAACATTGAATAAACACATTTGAAGAATGTGCATATTTCTGAATGACAATGATTTATTGAGAAAAAAAGAAATGGCTACAGCAAATCAGAAAAATTATGTTTACGAATCAGAGAATTTCTTAACTATTCAATAAGCTTGAATAAATAATTCTAAACATGATTTCATGTACAATTAGTACAGTGATTTATTGATATTATCTTGTTACTTAAAATAACATGTTGTCACTAATTAAACATCAGTTAGATCAGAATAATAATAATAATAATTTGCAAATGTTGCATAGATTGTTGAGACTAGAAAGAAATATTGGATATATTCTTTAACTTATGTATTTATGGTAAGTAAACTACATCGTACCGGAGATATATGTAATAAAATTAGGTGAGAGAGTTTAGGAATGAATCATATAAGTGATCTGTATTGTTGTAGTTGACTAAGAAAATAAGAACTGATAAAACAACTCGAGACAATTGATATAACTCCAAATCCTTCTACTAGTACTGCTACTAAAACTACCCTAAAAAAGATTAATACTCCTTCTACTACTATTACCACTACTAACAATGCCAGTACCATTACTACTGATACTAACACTAATACTACCAATGCTACAATCAGTAATGCAGCTGTTAATATTAATATATTTAATACTACCAATAAATTATCACTACACCTATCACTACTACTGCCACTACTACTACTACTGCTACTGCCACTACTACTACTACTACTGCTACTGCCACTACTACTACTGCCACTACTACTATTTGGATAACTACCACCGGGCAGATTCTGTATTAATTTGATTCAGAGAATCAAGAAAAAAATAACAAACAGAGGTTAGTTGGTACGAAATAATGATTGATGGGAAAAAATTCATAAGAACGCAAGATAACAAAAATTTTCATAAGTTATTATATAAATGTTTGAGCTATTGTGATTGACAATTAATCATGTTGATCACAAACTCTACGCGTTGCTTACCACAACTAGGAATCCACTCATATTTATCTATTAAATAAATATGCACAAGTTGGGTTATCGTATGATGGGTAAACAACACTATTTAGCTAACAGGATCTAAGTAAAAATGAGTTAATAAATGTAAGGTTTAGAGCATGATCCAATTATGTATCATTTACTGATTAATGGTTTTACACAGTAAGATCAAAACATTTGTATATCTGAGGCGAAAGGTTTACTGAATATTAGGCCGATCTAAATACATTTGTCAATTATCTTTAATAATTAATTGAAGAAGACTCTGGTTTCAATCTGAATTAAGGTTGTTGGCAAATAATGCTAAGAGGTTCTATAATAGGACAAGACAACTATGTAATTATTTTCAATAGTTTCCTAGCTAAAACAAGTTAGTGTTATAAAGTACCTTTGAATAAACATCATTCACATTTCAATATGAACATCTGTTAGGTATATTTGTTTTCTTCATTAGGATAAATTTCGTCATACAGTAAAATAAAATAATCCATAAAATTTCGACTAATTTTATCATCAGTCTACCAAATCCTTTTTATGTACTCAAACATATTGAAAGAAAGATATTTTGTTAAGTAGTTTAATTAAATTAATTTTTCGAAAAAATTCTGTTTAATTATAAATACAAAGTAGATTCAGTCTTACGTTTGTTGAAGTTAGAACAATTATTTGTTGGTACACACATATTTGGGCAAAGTATATATTATCAGATCTTTAGAAGGAAGTCCTATCATTTTTGCAATATTCGATTTACTGAGGCTTTTTTATTTATTTATGTAAACACATAAACATTGGTACAGGGACGCACCAAATAGATATGCGCCATATAAATCATTCGATTTGTGTGAGGACTGAGATACTTCTCAGGTGGCCAAACCGAAGCAGTTGGTTTTCTTAGGTGGCCACACCCGAAGCCTTTGACCTTAAGGTCTAGTCCACAAGTCAGTGGAGAAATGTAAGGAGATTCAGTCCCATGGTAGCCTTTGATCAACAATAGGTTCATACACCATTTATTCCTTCAGGATCCTAGGGCCCATGCATACCACTGGTTTGGAATTAGGGTTTTCCAACTCCCCTAGATGGATCCTCTATATCCGCCAACCCGACTAAAGCACTGAACATTCGCTTTTCGTCCTCTTAATTTCGTAAAGAACAGTAATGCCACAAGAGGGCAGTGAGTAGGACTTGTGTGGCAGTGGTTGTTTGCAGGTGGTCACTTGAGAGCATTTGGAGGCTAATAACATCATTCAGCCCTTACTCAAACAAATACGATCTCTTGATAAGTTCTTAGAGTCTCTTTTTGTGAATATAAACAGTCCTAAGGATTTACACCCAATTGGATAGTCTCAAACGGAATGAAATCCACGCCCAGAATTCCATTGTTATCCACATATCGAACATATTAAATTGTAATTCATTTGAAAATTAACAAAATAATTGCCTACCAAAGTATTTAAATAAACATGAAAAACAAACAAACAAAAATACACGTTGTTTACATTAGATAAATTTGATTTATTTCTTGATGTATACAAATGGGTATCATGTACAGTTGTACATCTTCCTGAAGATGGTGAATCACATTCACGTGATGAATTGAATAAATTAACACTTCCATTTAATTCACAATCTGCTGATGTTTGTCTACCATCATTAAAATTACTTCTTGTGTACTGATACCACTGAAGTTGTGTGGGTGATCGTGTACGTGAATTATTGTAAATATGTTGATGATAACTACTACCATACTGTGGTGGAAGTAGATTTATTCTATCTGAATCTTGTATGCCACCGTTGAAAATATCAGCTGGTGGAGATTTCATACTATATCGATTTTGTGCTAACCAACGTCTACTAGCATTTGGATTGACGATGTTATTACTACTAGTAGTAGTACTGATATTAGTAGTTGTAGTAACAGGTTGCGTAACTCTTGAATAGCATAATTCATTAAGACTAGCAGATTTAAATTGATCAGCACTTAAGTAGGCGTAATTTTCACCAGGCGATGAGAGTTTATTATGATTTATTTGTTCGCATGGTATATAAGCATCATATCTGTATGGTTTATCATAAATTAAACGTGATGTTGGTGGGGTCGACTGAGTACCAGTTAGTGATTGATGAATAAAATTCAAATTATACTCAGGCTGATTAGATGTAGTGATAAATGAACAACTATTATTAAATGTAACTAAAAATATAAAAAAAAATGTAAGGAAAAATGTAAAACATTAATTTTTAAAAAATAAAAGACCATACTATAAAGTAACTGTTATGTAAATAAATATTACAGTTCTCTATTCAGTAAATACACAAACATAGCAACTAAAGTCCTTGTTTCAAAATCAGAAGTAACGCTCAGTAAATTCAATAAATAAGAAAGATTGGTTCAGGAAAAAGAGTTCTTCGGAAAAATTTATTTCAAAGATGTACAGTTTCAAATACATGCTTATCTTTCAAAATGATAACAACGGCAATCGTAGTGATATTGAAATTTCGCTAAACTTGGTGATATGATATGAATTATCCTTTACAGACAGTTAGTGATTGCCGCTTGACAATAAATTTTTCACTAGAAGTTGAAAACAAACAAACTATTAACATTTTTTGATGCCGAAACGATAAAAAGTGACGGAGCACTAACAAAGAAATCCTTGTGAAATGACCAACTACCAAGCTTTTACAGCCAGGACCTCATTAGTCGAAAGCGAAACTTACTTATATTTGTCACTACATAAATACGAAGAATTTGTAGTTTCGAGATGATAAATAACAAACTGAACGTCCTTAAAAAATATTTATAAGAACGGATGTCCATTTGTATTTATTGACAAAAACATAAAACTTAAATCTCCTTAAGTAGAAATAACCTCCATACCAAAGAAAGCTCTTTATATGAATGTTGAAGTGATATAACCATGAATAACCTGAAGAGAAGTTCTGACAACATTTTCTAACATGACCATAATCTCTAGAAATGTTTCCTTCTTTTTTTCTTATCTCACAGTCATCTCCCTTCCTTCTATCTTCTTCAATACAGACCTTTCTACCCCTGACTGATATTTTTCTGTTTCTGTGATCCTCCTGATTACAATTCATCTGAATGTCAAAATTTTATTGTATCGCATTGAGCCTTCCGTTTCCAAATTATAACTTCTTTTTCTATCTTCATGATGAATATTTAAGCTATGGACAACCGCACTATTGTTAATTCTCTAAATAAAAAATGACGTTCATATGCTTTGATTTGTTTCACCGCATTGTTACCATGTTTAGCAAAATTTTAATATCACGATTATCGTCATTATTATTATTTTTGAAAATAATAATATACTTATTTGGGATTGTACATCTGTAAAAATGAATACCCGGAAAAACCTCTTCATCAAACCAACCCATTTTTATTTTATGTCTCAATGGATATATTTTGTTTAGTTCAAGAACCGTTAATAACGGTTAAACAAAGGATACATTAAATTAAATAGAATTTTTTCAGTTATTTTGGTGTTTACATGTGCATCTCAAACGGCTAGAAGTAACATAATACACCAATACAAAAGTCAACACGTTATGTTTATGAGAACATATCATATGTTTCTCGGTTGCTAATATACAGTCTAAATGACTAGTTAACTTGGTAAAAAATATCTAATTATTCAGATATAACGAAATAGTTTACATTGAAATGATTAAACAAATTGAAAATATTTCTAATGAAACAAAAGTGATATACAGAAAGGTTTGTACAATGTTTTTATGGCCTTAGTTTGCTTATTTAGTGAACATTTCACATGAGTTACATTTCATTTGGAACTTTTCAAAGAAAAAACAAACATTTTTCTCGAGAATAATTGTGAAATACTCCAAGTTTCAATTTTACAAAAATTATCAATAATAACAACATACGACGAAGTCAAAATCATCTTATTTATTCCACAGAAAATGATCTAACTCGAAACAGTGATATATATGTAATATATATGTAACATCATCGTGACATCAAGGAATCTTAGAATAAAATCTTGATAAAAAGAAGTCAAGCTTTCAGTTTATCGTAGTAATGAATTCATTCAGAAAACAGAATTTAATCAAAATGATTGTAGAAAGGGGTGCTCATACGTGTTTAGAATAGTCTAATCATGTAAATAACACTAGATATAAACGTACGTTTTGTCTCATAGTTTTATAAATAAACAGTTTATATCACTTCACTTGTCAATGATCAAGAATAAAGTTAGGTGAGGATGAGAAGACGTTATATAGTTTCTGAATATGCACTTTTCTGGTTCATTAAATATTTAATCATTGGAATAATACAAAAAATATATTATGGATTAGACAAACAAAATCATCAGTTACTAATGTAAATATCTCAATCCAACAAAGAGCTGGTTGGGGGTCTGAATAGCTCGCCCATAACATCTCTAGCTATAATGGTGAGTGATACAGATTTGAATATATCGGAAAGCACCGCTTCCATCAACTTTAAATATACGCCTTAATGATGAGTGTTAGATATCATAAGATCGAAACCCAACGATGTGGATAAAATAAGTATAAAGTGAAATTTTTATGGATTATCGAATGGTTGAGGTTGAGTTAACCAGTTTCTGCCAAGCATTACACTTATAATTGGTGTTACATACTACATATGTCGACAGATATAAGTAGTATACACTACAGAGATATGGAGTGGTGTCTGATCACTAGTTAGCGTTCATGCAGAAAACGATGAAGAGAAAAGTCTGTTTATCTGACATAACACTTTTTTAAAGCTATGTCACTTGTGGAGAAATTCTGCGGTTTCATTTCTATCCGACGCTTGTGCTGTTCATAATTTCGTCTAAATTGACAATGAAAACTTCACGATTAAACTATTCATTTCGAAGAACTCGATTACCATACAATTATTTTCTTCAGGTAGATCTTCACCGCCATCTCATGAACCTTCACTCTAGTCTCAATACTGTTCAGTTAATAGTTTCCTAATCTTTTTAGTTCCAAAACACTAGTTAGAGTTGTATAACTTAAGCATAAAAAAGCAAGAGACTGAAGAAAAGTGGTTTTTAATAGCTATTTTTATTTATCTTATTATAAAGTAACAATTTGAAAGAACAGAATGTAACCATTTATGTCGAATTCCACTAATGACTTTTTTTAATAAAAAGTCAAAACAATGAATAAGTGAAAAAAAATGAGGGGAAGCAAATCTTTAGAAACAAAAGACAAATATTTACTTTGGCATTCTAGTGCTTACTGTACGTTCATTCACACCTACATACACATGTATAGTTATATGTCTGTACATACATTGTATGAAACTAAAATGATAGAAAACACAATATATCGAATTTGTAAACTCTTGGTGACTACTGATTTAAACGATCTAATCTAATCTTCTACCAGCTTGTCGTAATGGCACAGCATAATGGTTATGAATGCATACACAAGAATAACACAAGTAGCCCATATACAAAAATAATAGTGTGACAATCACATTAATAATAATGGTTTCAAATGTTAGCCAACCATTGTTCAAGTGTGGATCATTTCTCGGTGTGTGTACAATTTGACAAGAGATATATGAGACAATAGGGAAGTAAATCGAATAATAAATACACAGAATAACAAAAGTAACCAATGATGTTATTGTAGAAGAATAAAGACAACTCAGTGGTGAAAAAAATTTCTGACAATATCATATACTCAAACTGTACAATGGTATTTATAGTTAATTTACAAATCTAATAGTCTTTTTAAAAATAGGAGGACAATTACATCATATCATGTGTCAAAAAAGGTTCTTGAAAGTCAAAAATTGAAGAGAAATAACAAAATTAAACGAAATATGAGGAGAATAATTATCCACTTGACGAGTGTGAAAAAGTTGGAAATGAAGGTGAAGACGATGATAACTAATCATTTCAGTGCTTCCAGGTTTTCAGTGGTGGTCTAGCTTAGATCGAATAGTGAATTCAACGGTAAAAATTCTACGATCTCCACAAATCCCTATACTGATAATTTAAATTGAAATTAAAAAGATTAAAACCTCTAGACGGATGTCATAAAATCAAATTACCGTTGATGAAAATTAAGCGTCAGGACGATGAAAGAATTTTGGCTTGTATGTGTCACTCTTGAATATAGAGTTCAGGATTGAAATAATGGATTGAGAGCACCTCTACAATTCATTAGTTATTAATATGTGCTCCATTCGAACCGAATCGTCTGATTCTATAGATGATTTTATAACGTGAGGCAAGATGTCCTAATAATGATCTGCTGATTAATTTACACCCACATTTCGAAAGCCACGCAGGATAATGTTCAGAGACGCGTTTGAAAAGTGCTTGCTTTGTGAGACCAATGTAACCTGCTCCACAAGAGTAAGTGAACTTATAAATAAGTATCGATTAGTCTCAAAATGAGAGTTTTCTTTGACACATCCACGAATAATGAGATGGCTAGAAAAAACGATGTGAACTATGCAGGGATAAAAAGTTTTCCTAGAGGATTTTGTTAGATGATTCTTTAAAATTTCTGCACCAGTATTTCCCTTGATCTCAATGTTAATGTGAGGGGGTTTCTTAGAAACCTCATGACATCTTCCAGATTACAACTTAGGTTTAATGTTTCGCTCAATAAACCTGGTTGGACAGCCTTTTTTTGAGAAATATCTGTTGGAGGTTGGATAGTTTCTCGTTAACTGTGCATTCCGAGAACGTTCGCCTAGCTCTCATTGGGATTGCATTGACATCAGCAATCGAATTTACAAAGTGGAAATAGTCTAGTGTTCAGTATTTGTTGATCTGATTTCAAATCGGTTGTAGAATTTCTGCTAGCTATTTAGCGGTTGCATTGTATGATGAATTATTCATGTGTAATATGAGCCTTACGTACTCTTCCTTGTCAAGTACTTTTGGAAGGCCGTATAGTTTTGAAACAACAGAACTAGATGGTTTTAGATATCTCAGAAATTCAACACTGATAACTGATTCACCTTTTATCATCTTAAGGATTTTTGTAAACTTCTGTTCAATTTGTCCAGGGATATCTTTTTGAGTTATTTCCTTAAAAAAACTTGTCGGTATCTGATAATATGGATAATAATTTTGTAACATGATCATGAGGATTCATAACACACCATACTGGCACCTATATCCGGACGCCCTATTTATTTATTTTATTTATTATTGTTTGTATATTTATTTGTAAATTAATTATAAATGAAGCATTATTAACTGATATTGTCGTAAAGAAAATGTTCTTCGCTGAATCGTCTTCATTCTTTTTCGATTTTATTTAAGTTAACATCCACGGGTATATATACAGAGATATTTACTTCACTATACTTACAATAATTAACAATAATTAATTGATCCGATCTTCTTCCTTATTCATACTTCATGGTTAGTGCCGTAGAAGATATACATGATTAGTAGGCTAATGTTTAAGACATCGTATTCGAAAACAGATTTGTATATGACTGTTCAGTTAAGTGACTAGTTTCATATTCATTCACATAAATTGTGGGGTGAACGACCAAGCATACAACAGTATATTTACCTACTGAATGTTTTTATTATGGAGCGATGGCTTACTAGTCGGGTTACTCCAATTTTAACCATTAAATAACAAGACTTTAACGCTCGAATTGTTTCAATAACTTTAGGTGTTGCTCACAGTTCAGTATATACACTTGAATTGGTAAATAGGTTACACTAACTGTCAACGAATGTGGTTAGGTAGATAGATAAACAGAAAAAGCGTATTTTGCTATTGTTTAACATTAAGTTACTAACCTGGAGTGATAGAACGCCGGAATAAAGTTTGATAATTCAACTAGAATAAAGATAAACAGAAACCAAATTAAATTCATTAGGAAAGAATAATCAACTTACATAAATCGATTGACTAGTATTAATAACAACAGAACTAGCAATAAGTGCTTCCAGGTTTTCGATGGTCGTCTAGATAACGTTAGTTTGTGATTTAAACCATGAATGTTCTACAGTCTTCACGAATTCATCTATATTAATAATAATCGTGTGCTTGCTGGCGACTAGCTTTAAGATGTAACTTCTGGAATTTCGGTCAGAAACCATGACCAATCGAGTTCAACCATGTTGAGTATTAGACAGTGATCCAACGTAGGATGTTACCATTGTGATGTTTTGCTAGTCCTTAGTGATGACTAAATTTAACAAATTAGACTAAAATTTCCCCTCAAGTTTAAGAGACTCATCATCATAAACATTATGCTTTGATGTTAGTTTGCTTGCAGTGGTCTGGAATAGTGACTGTATTACAAAGTACTTGATATGATCTAATAGATCTCAGTTTCACAGGAGGTTGTTAAGAGTAGAAATGCTTCAGTGTTTACACCTCATATTTTAAGACCGGACGATGTGAGTTTGAATCCCATATGAACCACCAGTTACCCCAAGAGTGCTAGTAAACGTCGTTAGTGAGTGTCTTCTTCATGCAAGAATCGCTCCAGACTACCACAAATAGGCAAGCTCGACATTTCGACGGGGAGCAAGATACAGACTGTGACAAAGAAAAAGTGGTAAAGTGAACGTACAACTCCAAGAGGGACGAGTGTGGCGCGCGCTACATATGCGGACAGACATAGGTAGTGTGTAGCCGGAATTGGAATGCTTTCCGGCAGAAGATTGAAATAGAGAGAAAAGAAATAAAAACAGAGAGTAATAGAAATAGCATCAGGATTAGAAGAATGATGGAGTCTGTAAAGGATAACTCAAAGAAGATATAAAAACGATGTATTTATTGTATGATTTTCATATTTTACAAAGGGGCTGTGTGATTTCGCACAAAACAGTAAGTTAATTCTCCTCATCAAGTCTTTGTTTATTCCAGTGCAACCTCAGTTCCAATATTTTTCATACTTTTCGACTTAATGAAGTTAGTACTTCGTCTGGGGACCTATTATTTATTTCTGTTCTGTTTTTACTATGACTTGTTTTTAGCACCATGGTATTGATTTATTTTATATTTCACTTCATAGTGTTGATGTGGTGTGATAAAATTAAGACGAACCACATTTATGCCGGGTGTTATTACCAACTATTCTCGCATTAAATCATTACCCGGAGTGTATTAAATTTTCTTAAACTGTGTTATCTTCAGCCAAGACATTTCTATTAGTTTTAGTTACAATGAAAATTTCAATGCCAAAAGTTGATGTGTCAGCTGATCAAATGCTTGGCGTTAAGTTCTTAAACGTTTATTGAATTCGCTAAATATTCCCTTACTTCAGCTCTAAATGGTAGAGCAAAGGTGTTGAGTGGAACTCGAAGCGCTAGTTAATGTGCTAAAAATAAGGGCTTGTCTCCACTGTTGCGAGTGATTTCCAGCTTCTTGAAGCTCTTGAAAGCACACCAACCTTAGTAACAAAATTAGTAATTATCCACTGAAGCTGTGAAACATAATTCACAGTTTTCCCAATAAATTTCTGAAACATTTCTACTCTATATTGGTTGGGCGAGATGTTTTCACGTCTTTCCTTGCTTTAAAAAAGTGTCAAGGAATTCACGAATGCTATTAGTAAAAGTTGATTAACTTTTTTTAGGAAATGTCGAGTTCCTCAAAATCGTACAAGCACGATAAGCAACAACGTAGGTCTTTAAATTTCAGATGTAGTATTTGCACTAATTATCTTATGGTAAAATAGAAAAATAGAAGGGAAACGTTGAAAAATAATCAAATAAAATATAGTGATTAATTTGAAAGAGATGAGGTGTTATTAGCATTGGAATCCAAGATACTCATCACATCCCATTTGGGAATCATCAGCTTCATGAAGGTGACGGATTCCACGGATAGCAATATCCCATATCTCTCGTACAATTCTGTGTCATATTTGTTTCATTGAGGGAATTTGCACAGGATACTTAAATCCCAACCAAGACTGATTACAATTCAGTCCTCAATATAAACGACAGCATAATTCAAACCATTCCAAATAAAAATAGGGATTAGTTGCTGAGATTTATCTTTTCTTTGTAAAGAAACGAAGTAAATAATTAATGCGCAATGACTCATTTGGTATTTGGCTGATAACAACAAAGTATAGTAGAAACAAGTACAAATCATTTGAAACCAGACAAGTTCCCGGTCGAGTAGAAAGATTATTATTTTTTTAAAAACGAAAAAACTTATTATAGGAACTAAAAAATGTACGGTGATAGAAGTATTTGACGCTTAACTTATTTTGAGTTGGTGCTCTTTTAAAAAAAAAGCTATTTTTCATTTACTTGCCATTTGTACACCGGTATCAGTATCATTACCATAAATAATAATTATTTAACCGGGTCTGTTGTGAGGTCGTAACTCACTTAAGACAACGGTGGACGGTGGAGCAATTTCGTGGATTGCTTGAAGTTAGACATTAACACTGTTGGATGCCGGCTCAGTGGTCTAAGGGTTAAGCGTTCGCGCGCGAGACTGATAAGGGCGGGATCGTGGATGCGCGCTGCTGAGGAGTCCCATACTAGAATGAGATGGCCGTCCAGTGCTACCAAATATTCCATGGTGGTCTAGCTTCAACTGACTCATGAATTCAATTAATAAATAACTATTATTCCTAGCGGATTTATTTTACACAGTGATATGCTTATAAATAAACGTATCCCAGAATAAACCAGTTTTTAGTTCATGCAACGCGTGATTCACTGCTTCATTATTTTTGTCACATGTTCATAGAAGGAGCAAACTTCACTGGATAGTTTAAAATGCCAGTTATTTTACGTAGGCTTATTCTTAATAAATATTCGTGGAGGCAGTAATTTTTCAGAATTGAGAGTTTGTAGAAGTCATCAAATTCTATAGTTTTCATCATGAAATGATCGTAGTTAGACACCTAATAAAAACCAAGAGGCACTTGAAAGCTATTTCTTCCTAGTATATGACTCTTCATCAGTGAATATCCATGACCCTATCAGAGGTCGAATCCAGAACGTTCAGGTCTCCCAATGAACACTTAATCTTTGAACCACTGAGTCAGAATTCTATGATTTACGAGTCCACGTCCAATCAATTCATGATAATATCTAACCATCCTGCAATACTGACAAAACAGCTGCTCAGTGCTTTTTAACTCTCAATGGTTATCTAAATAAAGTCATTCCATGATATAAAAGTCAACAATCTCCATAAATATTTCAGAGTAAATATTTATTTTAATTCACTAGCAGTTCCATAAATAAATATTACATTTGAACAGTAGGTTTTGATACATGTTTTGTTTTCAGTGTGAATATTGGTGATACTATCAAATTGTCAGTTAGTTAGTCAGCTAAAACGTAGGACCAGGTACATATGTGCATCGATCCAAGTTGCCACACCTCATTAGCACATTAACATGAACACCGGATTCATAAAAGTGGTTAATTTAGTGATGATGATATACAAAAGAAAGATTGCGTATAAGGATATAAATACAGGAAGAAATAATTAGTTCGTAGAAAGAAAGATATGAAATGATTTTAATCTCATAGTTCAAGAGAAGACAGAGAGTGTATACATCGACGCCATTGTGATCGATTCTGAGCCATGTTACCCAGAGTCTCTAACCATTGATTACAATAGTCAAATTGTAAAAAAACAGATATTAAACAAAGTAAGTTACAATTCTCTAATTCAAAAATTAACAGTCGATAATGAAACTAAATTTATATCTTACCTATGAATTTATTCATTAATCAAAACTTAATTCTATTCAACTTAATATGTTAGATAAAGTTTGATATTTATACCTATTTAATTTATTTCATATTACCGAATAAGAAAAAAAATGTCATCGATTAACAGTTAGTTGCAAAAAACAAAAAAAAAAGGTAAACTAAACAACTAATATCATGTTTGTGTCTATTCTGTCGTTTCTTCATCTTTCTAAAGTCAAAAGACATACCCTATTTGATTCTCTTGATGATTCATCTGTAAACAAAATAGAAAGAAATAAAAGACAAAAGGATATAAATCTTGGTGTTCAATACTAAAACAAAAAAAAACGAAGAAAAAAAATTAGTTAAGAATTTCATTTGTAAAATATCAAACAATTAAATTTATTTTCCATTAATATGGAATGTAAATAGTTTATGAATGGTGTATGAACTATGTACAGTAAACAAATTAATGTATTGATACAAACTTATTGTGTATAATTCAATAATAATAATGATGATGATGATGTAGATCATCAATAACCAATGTCATTTATAAGTAAATATGTTGAATAATTATCTACTCCAAGTTTAGTTATTTCAAAGTGTTGCACACACTTTCAGTTGACGGAATGATCATCAATTCGACTCTTTACAGTATTATCAGAAGGGGTTTGTGGAGATTTTTAGAAATTTTCACAGATTGAAATCATGAGTCAGTTGAAGCTAGATCACCATTGAAAACCTGGAATCACTGGACGGCCGTTTCGTCCTAGTATGGGGCTCCTCAGCAGTGCGCATCCACGATCCCGCACCACGCGGGGCTCGAACCCAGGACCTACTGGCTTCGCGCGCGAGCACTTAACCATTAGACCACTGAGCCGGCATCCAACGGTGTAAATGTCTAACTTCAACCAATCCACGAAGTTGCGCCACCATATACCATTGTCTTCAGTGAGCTGATATCTCACAACAGACCTGGTTGTACTCCACTGGTAACTCCAGGAGTATCTCTTGAAGTCAGTCACTAGTGAGCAGATTGTTAGTGTAATTTGATAATAAATATTGAAACAAGACGTATGACTAATTCATCTGGTATTGTTTTACTTAAAATATTCCCATTGATGTTTTAGGACTGAAATTCATCAGTCTCTTATTGGCATATGTGCATACTGTGCGTGCAGCTTCGATGTTGCCTTAATTTACAAGCATTATAAGCAAAGGTGGATAGTGGCTAGCATTGGAATCCAGGATGCGCGCTTCGTCCTGTTTGGGACTCGTCAGCTGGATGTTCCTGCATCTCATAGTTGATGATCACCCTGGAACTCGAACGCAGTACCGTTCGCTTCAAACGCCATCGCGTTATCCACTCAGCTACTGAGTCCTGATAGCCACTTGCTTGTGCAGCGGGGGGACGTTTAATTCACTTGGCATTGTTTTACTTGAATCTTCCTATCTTCCCACTACTGGCCATTACCCATCTTTGCTTATAAGACGTATGACTGTTTAGTGTTACCTAGTTTTACATGACATCAGTTCTTAGTACAATAGTAGACTTGAAGTTGTACAGTATAATATCATAACTACCTGTAGTAATGATGACAAATTTAATAGAGCACTTCATCAGAAAAGTTTCATTCCAGTAAAAGATCATTTGTAACCCGAATAGCTCAATGTATTTTTAAATTCCACCAGAGATAAAAATCTCCTGATGATTACAGGTAAATCTTGATGACTGTCAACTGACAGTTAGTATGAAAGGTTTCCAAACTGACTGTTATCAACAGATAGCCAACTATTTCAACTACATTCTGAGAATGATTGAAATCTTCACAGATCCGAGTCAATAAATTTCAGTCACAATAAAAATTTGGGTATATATTTCCTGTTACAAACTTAGTTGTATTTCGGCTTTAGACATAGATGTTAAATTACAATTGACTGAATGTAATTTGATGAATCTTCTAGTTTCATATTTCTGTGGATTAATTACTTTCGTTTAAATGTTTGTTAGTTTTTTTACTTTCACTATACACACTGTGCCACTAACAATCAATCAATTTTTCTTTAGTACACATCTTTATTTACAAAATATCACACAACATTAGTTGACGGGGAATAAAATGATTTAGGCCAAAATTGATTCAAAGAATCAACAATTTTATCAACCTGTTTTAAGAGAAGGAGAGAAAGAAACTTGAAACTCTACTAAATTCTTGTATATATAAAAAGATCAAACTCTTAAGTGGCTTTTGACAAGTTGAAAATCATGATGTATATGCATTACACTATTGTTGCTTGATAAAAAAGAATAGTCTAGCTTTAATTTATCAAGTAATTAAAACTTGGAAGTAACAGTAAGGTATATTATTTAGTTAACTGTACAGCATTGCAATCATATTATTTAACACATTGCTAAGAAGAAAAAGAATCGTAATTCAACTGATAGATTTAAATTTAGATTTTTCAAACTATATGGCAATAAATTCGCATTGCAAAAAGTGTTTTGAAAATTGTTTAGGTTTGGTACCTTACAACTGTTAGTATTTAGAACTTCATTTAATCAGTTTTTGTAGTTATATGTGTACCATGAAAGGGTATCTCGATACTGATTGTATACACATTTCGGTGGGTTTTAGGATTATCTCTGACAGTGGAAATCATGGCGCTTATTTCCTCCTACCACGGACACGACAGATTAGTGTTTCAGGATACCATATCCATGAAAATGCTGGTGAGTATCCGTAATCAGTAGCTTAGTAAGTAACCTGTTGGAGTTTAAGTGTAATAGAATTAAAGGTGTATTGAGAATATGAAAATTAGCACTAGAATCCAGGTATATCTAAGTTATGAGATCAAATATGGTGAAACGTTCTACTTTGATTCTATTACAAGCTACAGTGCAATGTATTAAAATGTTCCTCTTAAAAAAATGTAATTTTATTATGAAAAGGTTTAAACATTCTTGTCATAAACAGTGTCTTGTTGATTCGAGCTTCCACAACAGTCAGTCTGTACGATAAACGATAGTGTAGGTTGGCTTTATTCCAAGGGAGCTCCTGAACTCGATAAACAGAGAAAATTGAGCATAAACAACCTTGATTAAATGCATTTATTCTTAATAGATTGAGGAATTCATTTTCACTGTTAACACATCTCATGTTTTGGATGATCAGTGATGAGATTCATTTGATATATACTAGGTGACATGGCTAAGTCAACCGCAGTTTTATTAAAATTGATAGAAGTCTGAAGGAAGGGTTTTTTGATGTAGGAAATGATTAACACGTTACTTATTGATTGATCTTTTCAAACTAAAGAATATTGAGTCAGGTCTTATTATTACTTAACAGAAACACCTATATGAAAAATTATCCAAAACAAATTTTATATAGTTTTGACTTGCATAAATAACATCACTGGATGATTCAAAAAAATACCGGACGACTTTAAAACTAATTGATTACTTAATGAGGACCAGTGTAACATTTTTCTTCCTAATACTTCACTGCTGGTCGATTTCATATAGGTGAAGTTGATATATTATCGCTAGTTTAAGTAACTGGAAGTTGTGTGAACTGCGCTTTTATTTTAAGTGGTTGGAGTTAGTCAACAGGGGACCTTGAATTTAGGTTTTCTACTAGTTGGTACTTACCTTTGTGATGCCAAGTCACCTGAACTAGTGACCATGTTGCAACATTGTAGGTAGGATTAAGTCAGCACTAAGGTCTAGATAAATATGTCATTGGTCACTGACATGAGATGTAGATTCAAACTCCCCAAAGAGACCTCATTCCTCTGAAGACCGCAGGTGTGAGTTGCTGACAAATGCTAACCAGCACGAAGCTCATTTTCAGTATTTCCTACCAACTACCTCCGGTAACCTATTATTAAGCAACATACGGTAAAATATCCGACCTAAGTAATAACAAAATATGAAGATATTTCGACTTAATCGATATTACAAAATTAATTATAAGTCAATCTTAAAGCTTCTTCAGCTCAACTAATTAAAATCAAAGTTTCTTAACATGGTCTTGTAATCTCATGAATACAAAGTGATAAAATTTACTGATTTATTAAAGAATCTAAATTGTAACAACAGTAACTGTGAATTATATAGATTTTATTAATTAAAATCACTACATTACCGACCGTGTAACAATATGTTTTAGTCAAACATGTACATAACAATGAATAATTTGGCGAAAGAAAATCCCACTCATAAAATGGTTGCTTAGATTTTATATAAAATAACTAGTTTTGTTTAATGAACAAGAAATTCGTAAAGAATTGAAATTAACCTGTTAAACAAGTAAATAAAGGGTAGAAAATGCATGAACATTGTACATTTAAAAGCTTTAATTAATTTTATTTTTAGTAACATGACAAACTCCTGTAGTTGTCTAGTGTGCAGTCTCTTTTTATTATCAAATTTATGGTGTATGGCACTTATGTCGACAGACATAAGTAAGTAAATGCTGAGTGAACATAGGATTTAGATGGCCCGGCTGGTCAACTTTGCTTTGGAGGTCAGCGCGCTGAAGGACTCGACATTTTGACGGATAGCGTGGCACAGATTGTAGTAAAAGAGAAAGTGACGCGGTGAGCAGAGCTACCGCAAAAGCGACTGTTTAAAGGGTGAAAAAATGTGATGTATACTACTTATGCCTGTCGATATAAGTATATAAAACACATCAGGAGTGGAATGCCTGGCAGCAGAAGGTTGGGACGATCGGACCTAAGATAACACGAACAGAGAGTAATTGAAATAACAACACGAATGAGGGGACGATGAAGTTTGTAAGCGAAAATTGATGGAAAAGTTGCAAATGAAATATTTAATATATGGTTCACATATTTTACGAAGATATTTTGTAATTTAGTATTAAACAATAAATCGAAATTTGCCACCTGTGTTCATTCACAATAAATTTATTTAAAACAATATATATCTAGCGCATTATATCATAATTAAATATTCACTGGAAACTGGGAAGCACCGGACAGGTATTTTTCTCTAGTATATGACTTTTTGGTAGTATTCACCTACCAGATTCTCGTTAAGGGATCTAAATATTTAAAGTTCTTCAAGAGACTTGGAGGTTCTGAGGAGAACCATCTTAAGGCGAAACAGTTGTTCAGTGCTTCATTGTTTACAGTCATTGTTTCAGTGCAGATTATGGAGACTGAAGGATAGGAACAAAATCAAGATAACTAATGATCACCAGTGGTCATGAAAACATTAAACGTGAGTGATCTTTGTGTATTCCTTATTCGTAGGCTTCAAGAACAATGGAACTCATAAATATCCCGAACAAACGTTGATCTTTTTTATGTGTTCATGTTAATTCGATAAATACACACCTGACAAATGAACTGTTTACTAACTAATTTGATGCAAATTATCGTCAAATTAATAACAATTCAGAGCTTGATCTATAACTTATTTAGTAAACAGAATTTCAAATAAAGGGTAAGTTCCTTAAAGACTGCGGATTTCAGGTTTTATGATGAAATATTATATTTTGCCAAACACTAATTTATTGTCTATATGAAGAGCTGAATTTAAGAAAATAATGTTTGTGTGCATAGTTTGATTAGAACACGAAATGACTTTGCAATTAAGGAGACTGATTTCTGGGGACCTCTACGGGTATTTTGAACGACGGAAATGGAAATTGGATGGATTACGGTCGACAATCGCTTATATTGACCCTGAAAAATCATTATGCGATTATCGAGTTATGCTTCTAGTTGATTGAAGTTTAAATTGCATCATTGGATGCTAACTCAGTATTTCTAATCATGAGGCGCTCGCCAAAAGAAACGGATGTCTTAGGTTCGATTTTCGTAATCATGGCTGTACACTGTTATGGAGTCATATACTAGAAAGAAAAAAATGTCCAGTACCCCTTGATTTTCAACAATAGATTATTCAACTAAAATTTTCTACACAACATAAATCGAAAAATGTATAACGTGTCAGTACAACAAATGTATTAACTTCTCATTTTGAATCATAAAGCAAATATACCAGCAATTTTTCTTTAATGTTTACCGTTAATGACTTAGGTAGTAACTTTCATGACCTGATTGAGATAAATGATGAATAGTTTAGTGAAATTGACGGACGTAATTTTATACTTCACGCAATAAAATTACGGAAAATAGAAAGAGAACTAGATAATGGAATAAATGATTTAGAAGATTTTCCGCTTATGCGAATATGTTTAATGGTGTTCTATTATTTAAGCACAATGGATTAATTGTAAATCTTTCGTTGCAGTTTAGGAAAAAACCAACAGTTAATTAGTATTTGAACATAGACTAACAGTATGATGACATGACATGTCATCGATTATTTCAATGAATGCAGCCACCCATAGAAATAAAATTCATTTGGAAGGCTTTAAAATTCTGGTTCAAAGAACTCGAAAAAAACATGACATTCAGATGAGTTGCGAATCAACAAGGATATCTGTCTATTCTATATCTACAAGAAAAAGGTCAACCGCTTATTTGACTAGGGCTCAGTTAAAAGCAGTCTACAGAAATAAGACAGCATATAGAGCCGAAAAAGATTCCAAGGATAGCCATTTACGGACAAGGTCATAAGTATAGGCTTTGCATTTAGCGATTATGGAATAATGAAATCCATAGACTCTACATGAGGTCAGTACTGATAATATTTCCCAGAATGTCAACAAAAGGTTTTTAATTAAAATAACGAGCTCAAAGAATAAATGGCGACTAACAACAAGTAACACAGGGGATTTTCTTTGTTCATGTTTAATTATTAAATTATAACCAGCAGAATAATTTAAAAGCCAATATTTTATCCTGTTATGAGACCAATTACCTGAATTCGCCGCTACACATGTATATATCTCTCAGTGTTTATATGTACACTGTCGACTTGAACCCAGAAAGTTGCGGTAGAAACGCAAACACATCACACACTAGTCACAATATGATATTTAGAAAAAACGAGAAGTATGTAATCGTATTTTCTTGACACTTACTACTCTTGACTTGTGCATAATCCTTACATCATAATAAATATCCAGACAAAGAAAGTAGGATTTACGAAAAACTCAGAATGATTATATGTTCTAATAATTCATAACACATATAATACTTAAATGTGATGATCTGTCATTCGGTTTTATATTTCATAATGGACAAGTAAAAAGGTGATTAACACAACGTACATAGCAAATATTTACTTATTCTGTAATAATTATTTGAAAATAGATACTTGACAAGTAAACGAAGTAGACCATATATTACAAATATTTGCATTTTGTTTTGTTGTAATTTAGTGACAAATGAAATAGGTATTTCAGCTGAGGAATCGTTTATATATTCGTCAAGGGACGATCTTATTTATGGTAAGGATGAAAATCAGAAAGCATTGGTCAAGTGTTTAGTACTAGCTTCGAACTCATCAACAATTTATATGCTTCAACGTGATTATTTATTTTCTTGTTTCAAAACAACGTTGTCACCAACTGAATTTATTCTAGTACAATAAGGACTTTATAAAGAATTAAACATATGGCTTTCACGTTGCTTAAAAATTTCGATACCTAATGAGCCCTAAAACTTTAAGGGAACAATTGTCAAGTACTCCGTAACGTCATTTGACGAAGAAGTTTCTTTCAATTCGTTTGACATTTACAAATTAATATCATTGAATAAGATGACTCTTGAAACTGTTCATATAAACAAGTACGACTATTCATTCAAAAAGTACAATTGTGCGTACTTAGCTAAACGCTTTTTATGAAGCCCAGTGAAATTACTTGACTATCTTAATTGGAGTAGATTTTGTGAAATTTGAACCTACAGTATAGCAATTGTAAAGAGAGCACTTTGACTAATTAATCACATATATAAACAGTGTAACTTATGTTAGGCCATTTAGATTAGTTTAAACTAACGAATCATTAAGTTATTTATACTAATAAATACTCATTTGAACAATAAAAGTGGAAAAGATTTGTAGATCAGGTGGATGATTCTGGTGGAGTTTAGTTCTCTGAGCTGGATGGTCCAATCGTGGAGCATTCATCGTTATTCTGAACGACATCAGCAGCAGCACAAACTCCAGGTCGAAGTCTGTAGAACTTTGTGCTGATGTCATTCAGAATAACGATGAAAACTCCACGACCAAACCATCCAGCTCAGAGAACAAAATTTCACCAACAAAAGTAAGCTCTTCATTGGTAAAAATAAATATGCTTAATTATTAATAATTATTATTGAAACGAGTTGCTGTTTCTCAAGGAATGCGTCGTTGTTCAACTCAAACAATAATGTACACTCTAAAATTAGTGAAAACATATGAATTTGTCAAGTTAGTCTCAGATGTTTGTTGGGAGTGGTGTGTTTCATACTTTGCATCATGAACTAACTTGAGTTATGAAACAACTGGAAACTTGAAAGTACTGAACAGTTCTTTTTTTTTAGTATCAAACTCTGCATAAGTGTGCATCCATGACTCCACTCTCGGTCCGAAACCAGGACCTTCAGGTCAATTGATGAACTCTTAACATTTAGACTACTTAGTGGGTATTCATTAGTCTACATTTATAATTACCATCAGTTCGCGATATTGTACAAGCAGCTTTCAATACTATTGATAAATACATGTTCCATATACGACATAGTTGGACTTTACTGGTCATGGTTTCACACTAGAACTCAGGGGATTACCTATAATGAAAAGCCATTATTTAGTGCATGTTTATTATTAGTGTAAGGCATCTGTGAAGGTTGTTGAATTTTATAGTTTACATTATAAGCTGACCTCAAATGACCATTGAAAACCTAGAAAATACTGAACAACTGTTTCGTGTCATAAAGTTGTACATAAAATAAAATTGTTCAATAAAACGGCGAGAAACCATGAACAATGGGCGATAAATAGAAAGAGATAGTAAAATATACAGTAGGTTTGAGATTTCAAACTTTGAAATAGAAACACTGAAAGAAAGGCAATCATTCATGTTGGTAATGATAATGTAAATGAAACTCACTTAATGTACTCATATTATTTGATAATGTAGCTGATCGATTAGATACAGTCGGATGTATTGTTGCACATTGTCTGTTATATTTTAAACTTTGCAAATCTTCATATGAATTCCTCAGATTAAATAAACCTGGACGTTGTGATAATTCTTTCTTTAATGTGGAACATAATTAGGTGAAAAAAGGCAGAAATAAAAATATATTCTGGATTGAAAAAGAATTCAATTTATGCATTAAAACTTGAGAAAATCAGAAACAAACAGTTGGATAGTGAATAACAGTGGAATCCAAGACGCACGTTTCATCTTTGTTTGGGGTTCCTTGACTAGATATGTTCGCATCTTAGGGCCGATTTTCACAACGGAACTCAAAATCAGTATTTTAAGTTTAAGGATCTCTGAATTTAAATTCAACATACTGTCTTGGTTATTGACTAACTGTGCTCATCTTGTTTTGGTATTGAACATACAAACAGTATTTCTGGACCCTGCTCAGTAATACAACCGTTAGAATTTTGCACCCGGGAATGGATTTCTATCAGTTTACTAAGGTTTAAAGTTGCTTGAACGCATGTTCATTTCAATGCTTTTTCTTTTCATCACTAATTGAGATAATTAACACGGATGATTACCTAAGTAACTGATTGACTTACTAATTTATGCTGTTTATAAAACAAATATTAAGTATTAAGTAGTTTACGAGGCTAAAGAAAGTTTCTCTCATTAATAAAATATATAGATCACTTTGAATTCATTTCATCTTATAAACCGATTCCTTTGATTTCACTAAAACTGTTGTCGTTAAGCAAATGTAACACTATGAAAATAGAAATTTCGTTTGTTGGGAATAACCAAGAGATAGAAATTCACTTGATCTTAAGAAGTAACAGTTTTCATAGTAGAAAAAACTAATAAGATGAATGATTAACAGTAACAAAAAATTGATTCCATTAAATGTCCTTATTTCAGACTGATAGTTCATAAGGTGGAAATTTATTTGTTTTCAATTTGGATTTATGCTATAACATGATCTAAATAATTCCATTGAATAGTTCATTCTATTTTTTTTAAAACCGATCTAAACAAGTATTCATCAGTTGTCCTATGATAATTTTTAGCTTGTTTAAAAATGTATGTAAATAATTGAGTTTCTTTCGTTAGATAATAATTCCTCTCTATTGCATACCAACTGTTGTCTTTTAGTATTATCAAAGTTAAGAAAATAATCATATTTGTTATCTCTTAGGTTTTTTTTACAATGTAACCCATTCATTATCATTGTGTCAGTTTGGTCAATCATAACATACAGTAATTTTGCTATATATATATACATAGAGAGAGAGAGAAATCAATAATTCTAAGCTTGTTGGCATTTGTTTATAGATTTAATAGAAATATTTCCAACCATGATAATGAATAGGACGATTATAACACTGACAAAGAATGAACTCTTAAAAGCCTATCAAACTTCTGTCGTTCCGTTGCTGTCACGAAATTTCAAACTTATTTATTGGCAGTTTTCTTATCACATGTTTGAACGTAATTGACAAAGAGTCCTGAAAACTTATGAGATTCGAATCTGTATCCCTCAGAATCACAGTCAGATAAGTTAAAAGTAAGTTTTTAGGCAGCAATCGACCTCCCATAGGACCAAGTTATGCTATTTAAAACTCGTCACCAAGGTATATCTCTTAGTTTGAAGAAAATATCTTACTCCTATTAGATGTCACAGGATAGCTAGCTAATAGATTAAAAGTGAATGTATTTATCACTAATAAACAAAGTAGCATATCGATATAATCAAACTCGTGAATAACTTATTAATATTAAGTAGATTTATAATGACAAAAATCATACTTAAGATGAAGTTTTTTTCTCTTAGCTGGACGGTTCGATCCTAAAGCTTTCATTGTTCTCCTGAACAATAATCATCAGTACAAACATATACATTGAGCTTGTGCTGATGATGTTGTTCAGAATAACCACGAAAGCTCCAAGATTAAACCGTCCAGCTAAGAGAACAAAACTCCATCTAAATCATCCATTTAAGCCACAAATCGTCCCAAACATATCAGAAGTCATAACTAAAGAAAAAGCAAGGGATGATTTATGTCCTGTAAATGCTATCAATGAAACTCATATTGTGTGGTTCATTTAGTTCAAAACTTAATATATGGAAGTGATTTTATTCATAAGTTCATTATTTTCTAACTTCACCTGTAGTTCTTCCAAAGTCACTGTCGGCCCCAAGCCCGTATAGAGGTTGACGGTCGAACATGGAGTCAGCAACCCTGCTAAGAAAATGATGCTATATTTGAAGATATTTTAAGTTAACCTAATCTGAGAATCGAACGAAGACTCTGTGACACAATAACAGATAAGCTAGCTATTTCAACGTGCCACAGCCCAGTCCTAGTTAGGAAGAGGGAACACGAACAACCACAACCAGAATAGTCGGAAATACACTCATTTATATATTGATTCATACACCCATTTTTGACTAATAACTACGATGAAATCACATATATAATCAATCATATACTGAATATAGTTCATTTTAACTTAATACAAGAATATCTTGTATTATACAGAATAAAAAGATCGTACGGGAAAACAAAACCGAATACTACACTGAACAATCATCATATTGAATTAAAACGGAATTAATGTTGAACCAAAAATCATAATCAATAAATCAATCTAATTTTGACTTTCCTTCCCATCATATCAAACGATAACCAGGAAAAATCATTTAAACCAATTAAAATTTGTCCTGGGAGTTGGAGGAGGAATTATGACGCCTCATAGTGAAAGCCGAAACTCATCAGAATTCACGAGGCCGATGCCCATTCTAACGACCAGCGCGACAACTAACGTAGGTACACGGAATGTCCGAACAATGTAGGAAACGCGGAGGAATAGTCAGATAGTTACGGAAGTGAGGATATACATCTTGGCGGTTTTCGAAATAAGTGAAAACCATTGGGCCCCAGCTGGACAGAAAAGATTAGATAAAAGAGATGCTGCTGCACTCTAGTCATGAGGAAGAAAATGCTCCTCACATGTAAGGAGATTCTCTAACGCTGTCCAAAGAAGCACAAAGAGCACCTACAGGATGGGGATCTCATGGATCCAGAATCATCAAAGCATTCCTTGAAACAAAGAGGGTGGGGAACACAAGGAATGTTATCCGGTGTTGTGTACAAATAGGTTAATTGATTGTCCTATCTCGGCGCTGACTGATCAGAATGCTGTTTTTAGGAATTTTCTAAAATTCTTAGAATTCTGTTAATTCGAAAATCTGGACATTTCACCAATTCAGTTTAGTCCATAGTTGACAGTCGATCAGTTTTTTCGAAGTATACTACTTTTCTGTAGACTTGAATCATTTTTTTAGTTACTAGACCAGTGGACTTCAACCATGTCGATAATGAGGCTGTTTTTTCACCAACAGCAGAGAATGACAGTTGTTCAGTATCACTGATTGCATTGTAGTTGGAAGTATGGATCATTTGATTTCAAATCTGTGGTCTAAATGATCATATACTCACTGCAAGAGCTTAGTCATCTCTCTTAAGGAGGATTATAAATGTAAAACGTCTTTGAGGAAACCCCATACTAGGATGAAACAATCATCAATTGCTTACTGGTTTTCAATGAATGTCTAGCTAAAGTCGATTGGTAATGTAAACTATAGACTGAATAACCTTTATATACGTCAAAAGGGTGGTCAGTGTTTTTTATTTTTATTTTTCTGAATTGTGGTAACTAACAAATTTGAGCTATAAAGAAGAAAATCACATACTTTATTTATTTAAACGTATAAACATCGGTACAAGGAGGTACCAAATAAATATGTGCCACACTTCGTATTTCAATTTGTGTGAGAGCTACAATAATGCCAAGGCCCTCCAAACCAAAACAGGTGGTTTTCTTAAGAGACCACTTGCTGAACCTTTGACCTAGAGGTCTAATCTACAAGACAGTGGAGCAACGTTAGGAGATGCAGTCCCATGATAGCCGGTGGATATGCACTCTTGAGGAATCCGATGCTGGGAAAAAGCCACCGTCTAGTGCTTTTAGGTTTCTAATAGTGGTCTAACATTGATCTGTTCATGATTTCAACCAAAACTCAACAATCTCCACAACCCCATACTGATAATGGACAAATTCACAAATAAATACAAAATAAAAACAAAACCTACCTCTAATTTGTTAATTTTCTCTTCTAAATCTCGATTAGTCTCTTCCAGCGCATTAATACGTAAATGTTGTTTTGAAACTTCATTTAATAATTGAAGATTATCCACATCAGTTGGTAGTTGACTAATATTTTTATTACGATGATCGGTTGTACAGTTTTTATTGACCAAATAAGATAACTAAGAGTGAAAAATAAATACGTGTATTTTCTTATAAATTTACATATATAAAAATATATCTAGAAGTCGTCAACATTTTTACTAAGAGTATATATATATGGTTTATCCGTAAGTACTGACTGCTGTCATGTTTGTCTACTCTTTGGTACGCTGATCAAAATATATCAGTTAAGATGTGGTGTGGCCTCTAAAATATGTAGATCGATATAGCGAAAGTGATCTACTTACAAACTATAACGTTCACACGATATCGAGTTATGTAAACTACTAATTGTATTACAAGTAAATCATTAGAATCACATTAGTACTTGAAAGATCAGATATGCATAATGTCGATCACTACTCAGAATTATACTTACCAAACGCAGTGCAGTAATAATGCCATATTATTGTAACTTCATTAAAACATCTTCTTAACAGTTATTAGTACATTTGTGGGAAAAAAGTCTTAGTGAACCAATGGTGATGAACAGCTGGCATGTAGGTAGAAAATAACATATTTAACAGAAAGGGAATGCCAGGAGACAGTTTTATTAATTGTCATCCAACGCATACTTCTAAGATTATTTATGTTTAAAAGATATTGTTAAATTAGTATTTCTAGACAACAATATACTTTATTTAGAAACTATTCAAAGTGATGGTCAGATCAAAGAGACATATAAATCAAACAACTTTTTCTTTGGTTTGATTAAGTGTAAAATACTTCAGTTATGAGAAAAAACATACTGACGGGTGCAGTAAAAACATTATTATTATTATTGTTATTATTATTGGTCCTCCACCTTTATAGACACAATTCTAAATCAATATATGGATCAACACATCAAGCTAACCATGATAATGTACGAACTGATATAAAAGACAGAATATGTAAAGCGTACTTAATACTGCTAACATAATATTTAGTATGGTGAATAATCTTAAGGTTTAAACAGATCGGCTACTATAAAATTAATTTAGTATATGACCTGGGGAATAAACTTAAATGCAGTAAATGAGTTGCTTTGTTTATATCTATTAAGCGTTAAGTTATTTACTAAAAAACTAGGTCACCGACCTGTAGTAGGTATTGGGTTCCCGACCATAACTAATAATTTGATGCGGTGATTAAACTTGCCTGTGGTTTTGAGCCAGTCAGAGTATATTGGGTGAAATATTTTTTTCTTTAGGTCCTACCAATAAAAGTTGGTCAGTTATGTTATGGTAGTTTAAAGACAATTACTTAAGGTCCGAGAACAAAATCATTTACCTAGTTTTACTCTAATGACAAGGCAGTAGGATATTTTCCTCAAACAACCTGGATCTACACCGGTACTGTCTTACTACGACAAAAGAAGAGGATTATATAGGGTCAACTTCCAAAAAATAACGCACCTCATATTGGCTCAAGAATCCCCGCCGGCAGTAAGCCCTAAAAGGTATGGGGTTAACACATGAGAAACTACATATAAAAAGGCTAGTTGACCAACCCAAAGCACTTATCCCGAAGGTTCTGCAATCATGCGCTTAGGTAATTAGGACTAATAATTGGCCAGTCTTTTTCAGCTTCATCAAGTAAAAATATCCTTCCTCACTATGCCAGATTTGTCAGTATGTGAATATCAAAATAATGATTAACAAATTTTTGCAGGATTTTCAACTCAATCTGCAGATAAAAATAATCAATAAAAGTCATTGTTTTTCACTATAGGGTTATGAAGATAGCTGAACTCCATTGAAATAATGAACCGATCTAATTTAGACCAGCATTTAAATCCAGGAAACATTGGACGGCCGCTTCCTTCTAGAGTGCTTCCAGGGTTTCAATGGTGGTCTAACTTAGATTGGTTCATGATTTCAACAAAATTCAATAGCCTCGACGACCACTTGGTGATAATCATCACTTACTCACTAGTGACTATCATACATAGGAAATTTCCGGAGTTCTAAAGAGAAACTAGACCAGTAGAGCTAATCCGTGTCAAGTGTGAGGCACTCACCCACCGAAGACAATGGCCGATGGTCGAGCAATGTCGTAGATTGACTGAGGTTGGACATCAACCCATTAGTTAGGAGGTTAGGTGTTCTCGCTCAAGATCGAAGTTCCTGGGTTCGGGTCCCGCATGCACGGATGCAGATGAGAACTCCGGAGGAATTCCATACTAGAATGAGACGAGGGTCTAGTTCTTCAAAGTCCTCATTCATAGTCTAACTTAGATTGGTTTGTTATTTCAATGAAAAATCGACGTTATTGGGGTTTCTATTCAAGTAGAACTAAAACGACAGCAAATGAAACACAAAAATAGTCAGTCGTAAACAACGTTAAAGCTGGAATATATGTACATCGGTTAAAATTGCCACATTATATAAGCACAGTGAAATGTCGGAGTATTAGTAGTATTATCAGTGCTAGTAGACCGTATGTGCATCGGTGTTGTCCAATAGAAAGAATGAATTATTAGGATATGAAAATAGGAAATAGTTTTAACACTCAAGATTTAAGGGAAAACATAAAGTAAGCGGATTAGAGTTATTCTGACCGATTTTGTGATATGTCCCAGAATGTCTTCAATTGTTGGTTACAGAAAGAATGAGTACTTCAACCAAGTTGTCTGCACTTATTAGTATGATTTAGTTCAACAGTCAGTGTCAATGACTTTATGAACTGATGTATGTCTTGGTTTGACTATCCTTAGTTTTCGACTAACCTACTTCTATACCACCATACATCAATTGTCAAGGTAGGAAGCAGGTAGTTGAATCCCAGCCACTTCAGTCAATGAAAATTAATTACCTCATCAACTGAATCTAAAATCAGAATTGCCCAAGTAATAGTTTCAACATACTCGAGTAATGTTTTGTAGACAATTAAAATCAAATGCTAGTAACCTACAAATATTATTTATTTTTAAAGGCAACGCTTCACATCCATATACTAAGCATTAGACATTGATCGAAAATCTGAAACCAGATAACAGATGTTCCTACCTAGCATGTGGAATTCTTAGAACTGAGCATCCAAGACTCTGCCAGAGATCTAATTCACGACCTCCAAATCTCGTGCCAAACATTTAACCCTTCAAGTCACTGAGTCAGTATCAAATTTTTAACAACAAATAAATTGAATTATTCGACGGACTAATATTTAAATGAATGAATTTACAATATTAATTAACAATATTTAGCATAGTTTTCATTCTTTTTTTTATCGAAATACAATGCTAAAACACTAGGTCAAGAACATTATATTGTCTCATAAACTTAAACTTTATTTATCCATACAATGACATAAACTCAATGTAGTTTAGTTATCTATAAATAACCTTGACACAAAAACAGATCAATAGAAGAACACCTGAAATGAGTGTGCATAAATCAATGCATCTTACCAACTAAATAAACTTCGACATTATCAATAATCATTCTTATAATAATGACTATTGATCAACTGTAATATTGCACAATTTTATTGCGTATTTATCACGTGTATATATAATTAGCTGTGCTTTAGTGGTTATGGAAATATACATCTATATACATTTAACAATACAATCACCTTGTAGTAAATGTATCGTGTAAGTATGCACTTAACTCTCTCTCACTCTCACTCTCTGTCATATCACATCTACACTTAGAAATTAGTCAGGAAAGACGAATATTTAGAAAAATATGTTAATCAATTATAAGATTAAATATATAAAATGACTTTTATGTTAAGTGTAGTATTATTATAATAATGATAATTTTGTAGTAGTACTATCGACGTTAGTTCAGTATTGATAATAATAAGGCAGAAAATAAAGTGTACGTGTTTATAGTTGTGTGAAAACGATGAGTACACACTAAGCACAAAGTAAATTCTGTCGAGTAATTGATAAATACGTAGGTGGAAGTATGCAATATTAATTAATCACTTATACATCTAATTGTTATTAAGATTCGGAGTATAGTGGTTTAGTAGTGTTTTTGTGAAATTTATTTTTTAACTTCGTTCCTTGATATAGTCGCGAATATGGATTGACGTTGAGGAGTTTCACATTAAGATGAAATAGCTATCCAGTGCAATCTGGTTTTCAACGGTTGTTTAGCCAAACTCAATCCATGATAGAGAGTTAAAATAATAAACAATCTCTAGTGTTCTCTCTAGCTAATAATAATAATAATAATAATAATAATAATAATAATAATAATAGACTTTTGTCCAAAGATTTGTAGAATAACTATAAAAAAGATAGTTCAGAGAAGAGAATTTTCTTTTCGACGATATCATTTAGTATTTACCGTTAAATTTCTATAATAAAAACAGAGAATTATTAAGTCAATAACAGAAATAAATAGAAATGAGATGTGAAAGATAATCCACTTAACGATTATAAAGAAAGACGAAAATATGAGTGAACACTTATCGAAACAATTCACAAAATGGTATAAAGAACTGAGATGTGAGAAGTAATTGACAATGGGAAGATGAAGAGGAGAATAAAATGAACACATGTAAAGCATTAACTGACAAAATGTGAAGAAATGTTAGGATTATGGTAAACTAAGGGATTGAATACATTGCTTCTGAATGCAAAGATCGGGTTTGAAATGATGAGTCCCCAAAGTCTTCATTATGCATAAGTTTATTATCTACCATTCCTTTGAATCAGTTCTTCTAATATCGTGAAGAAATGTAAATAAATATTCTTGTATGGATATGTGACCGAAAATGTCCAGATGTTCAACAATTGAGCTAACAGTGATTTTGCATTTACATTTTGATAATGATGATGGATAGATCTTGGATATGTGTTTGGAAAGAGCATCCTTCGTGCGATTGCCATAGTACGTAAACTGGTAGATACACAATGACGTAGGCCGAATCGGCAGTACATTGTTGACACATCCTTGTATCAGTCATTTACTGTAAAATACAGTTTGTAGTTTAGCTGAATAAAAGGTCTTCGACAACGATCTGGATAGCCTGTTTCTCAAGGTCTCGACGACTGTATTTCCGTCAAACTAGCTTATCCTCTTGCTACGTTTGAAGTGATCGTGATTCAACTTAACCGATGAACGAAAGGGAAGTCAGCAACACGACAACAGAACAAGCTAAACGATTCACTGTGCCTCAGCCCTGCTAACTAGAGAGAGAAGACCAGATTCAGCTGAGGGAAAACTATATTTCACAAGCAGTTGGAAGCACAAAAAACGGGTCATAACTCAAGCGTATATATACGGTATAAAAGTGGCCTTCGGAAACGTCGAAAAGAGGAAACAAACCAATGATATTTAGGATCCTTCCAAGTAGGAAATATAATCTGAAGGTGAATGTAGGCGCTTTTGCCGCGAAAATGATAAAGATTTTCAAAATAAAATTACAAAAAAAAGAGGTTTATCAAGTGATTTATAGGGACCTAACATCCCCAAAACCTCTCTTCTTCACTGTTCATTATTCTTCAAGTGGTCAATTATTTTTCATATTACAGTTCTTCATACCATTATGTGAATTTTTTGACATGTGTTCGTTCATATTTTCATCTTCCTTTATAATCGTTAAATGAACAAACTTTAACATTTGGTTCCTATATTTTATCCCATTTTTATTACCTCTGGACTATTACGAAACATTAAATTCTGATTGACTTTTAGAACCTCTGTCGATGACTCAATAATTCCATGTAAAATTTTGACGATAAATACATTTAAACAGCACTACTAAATGATATCATCGAAATGAAACTTTACTTCTTTGAAAAATCTTTCATTTAGATAATACTTTACAATTATATCTGAACAGATAAATAAGTCATTTAATTCTTCATTTATTCAAATTATCATCTCTGTAGTAGTAATAACAATAATGATACTCGATTAAATCATCAGGATAATAGAAGAAATTACCAAGCTTAAAGTGGAATTAAATTGACTAATTTATTCGGAGAATATGTGTAAAGATTGAATATAGAAAGAAATTGATGTATTTATTTTTGGAAAGATTAAAATTTTAATCGAATTTTAGAAAGAGAAAATATGACACTTATATGTAAACAATAAGTAATCATTGGGACTATTCACTAACTACACAAAACATCTACATAAACACACCGGTTAATAAATGGTTTCATCAAAATTTTCTTTTAGTAAATCAATTTGAAATATTCACTGAGAGAAAACGGTCAACATGAAAACAGTTTTTTTTTTCTCTCAAAACGATCAAGAGAAAAATAAAAATTTTAAAAAATAAACATTTAGTGAAATGCTTTTACCACATATTTCTAGAGAGAGATTTTTGGATTAAATTTGGTTCCGTTAATTCTGTAATTAATATTTCAAGATCAACTTCATCATAAGCTAAAGGTCTGATCACTTAAAAACGGAATGCTTATATATTCTACATGATTGGACGAGGTTAATAGGAAATCCTACATAACTTGGGTTTCAATCTAGTTGGAACTCGTTAGTAAGGTGTACATGATATTTTCAGGGAAATAATATTCCCCGACGAGTTTGAACTCAAGTAAACCTGTTCTCAAGTCTGAGATGTTACGGCTGAGTTAATCGGGTAGCGATTGAGATATTTACAATTGACTGATCACGGAGCACTAACTAGTGTCGTGCCAATCTGGCTCTTTAAGCACTGATCCACTTTGATTGATTATTTTGCAAGATTACAGGTAGGAATTACTGACGAGTCCGAAATGTCATAAACCTCTAGGTTCGAGGTTTCCTGTCCACTATCTACAGATACTGAACATATAAACACAGTTCACGCAACGCTGAGTCAGCTAAACTGGTCACCACATTACAACTTGATTAATAACATTCGACCAGCACTTACAGGGCCAAATAAACACGATATCGATCTCTATTCAGCGACCAACCAATGTATGCAGTTGAAAAAAGTACATCATACATACATAGATTTAAATTTACACTTTGTCTAATCGGTATTTTTTCTTCAAACAACTCCACTTCTGTGTGATAGATGTAGAGTAAAATAAATTTTTAAAAAATTCATACATTTCTGTCTACTGTAACACGTAAATAATGAAAAACATATAAACTTTTCTCTAGTGTTTATAACAGCGTGACAGAACTTTTATGACATATCTTGACGTTAAATTTTCTCTCGTAATTTCGTTAACAATTACGACATTTTCCGAATGTGAGTCATTCATATATAATGTAGAACCTGAGACATATGTACATCGGTTCAAGTCACCATGCCCCATTAGTAGAGTGATACGAAATGGTCAAGGCAAGTCCCAGAATGTTAGTAGTACTAACAGTATTAGTGGTAGTAGAAAAGATTAGGCATCAAAGATACGATTCGAGAAAAGAATATTAATTAGTGAAATTAAAAGAATTCATAGGATAATCTGAGGACAAGGAGTGAATGTATCTGCTAATGATCTCTAGCCATGTCACTCAAAGTCTGTGAATATTTATTACGATAATCTGCGGACCTCAATCAGCCTAGATAATAAAACGTTGTTACAACCTTTCCTCATCGTTAAAAAAATCATAATGAAAACATCAATGGTAAATAAAATGACGCATAGCTTACTGGATTTCCATCTTTTTCTAATTCTGCAATACGATTAGCTTGTGCTTGTATTTGTCCTCGTAATTTAGTGATTCGTTGATGAAAGCGTTTATCGTTGAGGCATGTACTAAATTCATCTGGGGGAAACACGTATTGAGACTGCATTTGTTTAGATTGTTCACTTAAATTCAAGTTGAATTTAGTAGGTTGTGTGGTTACGCGCTAAAATGAATTTGAAAAAACACTGCGGTAATAATAACAATAATAATAATTATTATTACAATATAGTTAAAGTATGATTTGATAAAGTTAAGTTTGAGATCCGCTTAAGTTTTCACATTATTTGAAAACAATAACACTATGCAACAGTGTGGGAATAACAAGTTTACATTGGATGTCGTAAGAGGTGGTAGAGTACAAATCTCAAGTCAGAAGAAAGCAACATGAGAACCATGCAAATATGCACACTGGTCCTATTCTCCATAAAACATCAACAGAGAAAGATGAAGAATATCATAGTACAAGTAATTATAATTCCATTAATAGTAAGAAAAAGCATCAAGCTGAATGAACTTGTACAACAAACATCGTACAGTAATTTTGGAACTTAATGTCTAGGGGAACACAATGATTGAATGTATCTATAATGCCAAGATCGATTATGAGACATATCAATCAACGTCTAAGACCATTAGTCACGATATTTATTTAAGCCTCAACAAGCTGGCTTACATCTATCAATATGATTCAGTCTAATGATCAATTATGTCAAGTGTGAAACAAATGCTACCAATAATGACAGAGGAGACAAATATTAGAAGGAAACAACTATCCAGAGCGTCTTAGTTTTTATTGATTATCAAGTCAAAATTGATCCATGTTGTAAAACTGTGTTCGTCATACACAAAAATCTATATTATTTCGGATAAATTAATAATGATATGTTTGATATCATGTGTACTGAAGGCTAGAGATTATATTTTTAACTTGAACTGGCAAAGCGTGATTTTTATTGCTCACCGTTTTCTTCACTAAATTAGCTAATAAAATGAACCACAACAATACTTCGAAATCGGATTATAATTTAACATTAAAAGACTTATTTTGTAAATTTACTCATTAATGCTATGTTTTACAATATTTTACGAAAAAACCACTATATTATGAATTCAAATATATACAAAATCTTTTTCAGTTCGTTTCAGCATAACCATAACCTTATTTGGACCGTAAAGCTGAGTCTTTGGTAGCAAAACTAAAACCTAATAAACCTCGCTAACCAAATGAAATGGCCAGTGATCTATGTAAGGATATCTTGAATTACCTTCGAAATTCTGTCTGTAGTATATGTATATATAAGGTAGTGCGATTAAAGTATTATGATTTATTTATAACGGTACAAATTATTTGAGGTAGTTCTGATAAGAAATAAAGGTTGCACATTTCCAAGCTCTTACTTTTCACATTACTTGCCTTAACACGGCAATCGATTCACTGATTTCTAGTAATAATTAATTTTATAGTAGAATTATTACATATCATAAAAAATAAAGGAAATCTATTTTGCTTTTCGAACTGGTTAGAATATGGTGTTTGGTGAGGATAGTTGATATCAGGGACTGACTTCGGCTAGACAATCACTGAAGATGTGGAAACACTTGACTTTTGTCCAAGACTCTTCTAGTTAGAATCTACAAACAGTTGAGTTCAGGTGTGTAACGAAGGAAGCAGATATTTTCGGTATCACCATATGATTGTGTTTAGTATTGCAAACTAACCAAATTTTGAAATATGGACCAGTTAGTTCCAACTCAGTGGTTTGTAGGCAACGTAGTCTCTATAAAACCTGGAGATGCTTGATTCAGTTCCTAGGTTGAGGGGAACAGAGGCTGATTAGTTTCAAACTCGAAGGACAAAGACGTTTTTCAATATTCCTTGGTTTTCAGTAGTTATCTAAGTGAAGCCAACTCTCAAGAACGTTAAGTAGTTTTGTCTACCATTTATTAGTTAACTCTGTAATTTGGAGCATCGTGGAAAAGTCTAGACATTTTGTCCATACATTCTTACTATGACTCAATGAAATAAAGCAGCGAGAAAAGTGAAATAATGTACATGAATTCATTGTATTATTTTGTAGGGATTATCACAAAATAAATTCATGAAACGCTCTGAGGAATAGGGTATCTTAGACCCAACTATGCGATATCAAGTTTTAACACGATATCCAAATATCTATGAATACAATTGTGCACACCATTTCGTCCACTGAAATCGAGTGCGTCTAAGCGAACGCGGTAGTTCATTTATGCTGTTTTTCTAACAATTATGGCTAATGGACAGTGATTTAATAGTTTTTACTATGTAGCACTTAGAAGCTGTGAACCATATCCAAAATTTTAGCTTAAAAGCCAAGGATCAAACAATCTATTCAGCTACAGCTATAGGCTTATCTATATCTGTGAAGTCAATTGAATCATACATTTGTCTAGAAATCCAAACAAGACCGCAAATTTTAGTCAGTGGTTAATTCTACAGTAACCTAAATTAGTATTCACAAAACATGAGCACTCTACCTTCTCTTTCATATTCATAACACTTTACTTTTTGTGTTCGACTTTCGTGTAACGACGTCCATAAATGTCCAACTGGGCGAAAAACTCTGAGTGAGACAGAAATCTACATGTAACACTGGTTGTAAAATCTTCATGAATCTTTTTAAAAGGAAATGTTTACAAGGGACTTGAATTTTCAATTTTCAGGACTACAGTCTATAATGGTAAATTTCTTTATAATAGCTTTAACCTGAGAAAAGCCTACATTAATTCATTGAGCTTACCATCAAAAATTAGTTTGACGCGAGTTGTTCAAATAAGTCAAGGAGTTATATTTAATTCATATATTCTCAAACGTAATAGTAAAAGCACGGCTGTGTTGTCTCCAAGTTCATAATATGATGCATTTATGTTTTTTAATATCTTGTATATACAAGCGTATATTGCAGAACACAAACTTATTTCATAATAAAGTTTTAGAATCTTGTTTATTCAGTTTAAGAACCCTCTCATTTTCTACATAGTAACAAATAACCACACATTTTACAGAGATTATATCGCAATTTAATTTGACCTTAAAGTTAAGCTCATCAGTAAGTACTAAGTCAGAATCCTTAATTTGTAGATTTTATAAAAATGCGGGTTAATACTATCCAAAATTTTGAAGGGCCTATTTAAATGAATTTTCAGTCGACGAAATTAAACCTGAGGGACATTCGAAAATGAAGTGAAAGTACTTGTTGTCTACGTACATGTAAAGCTAGTAGATCAAAGTCGAATGGTGAATGTTTTCAGAAGTTCTGAGATACAGAGTAAATGAAAAATCAAAGTTATACAATAGCAGCTCAAATGCAATATTTTTATGTTTATAAATTAAGTTTTTCACATAAAGTAAGTATACTAATTCGGTTATAGGCACGTGCAACTATTTACTATGCTTTCATCTCCTTTTGAAGTGATAAGATCAATATATATAAAGGTCAACTTTCACATTAGGCAGTCATTTAACATGTTTCACATCTTCACTATGATCCGCAATAATCGTTAGCATATTTTCACCCCTTTAAGATTAAAATTTAACTTTTCCACCAAATTTGGATTAACGACAAGAGTCGGCATTTTCATCTTAATTTACCCCTGTATGGAATACTGAACCATGTAGGCTTATTCTTTTACAGTGGTACTTCACAGTTTGTGTAATGATTTTGATCCCTAATATGCAAAATTGAAATGTTGATAATAACAAAATATAAATCACACAGTTCTGTTAGTCAGTAAGACTCATCATGGACATGTAATCTTCAGTACTATTAAGGAATGTTTACGTGAAACTCATATTACAAACACAGACTGGTTATTGCAGTTCACCTAATGAGTTTGAAGGAATTAATAAATATGCTAATAAATTTGTTTCGTAGACATTGAATTCAACATTCTATGATACAACTATGTTCTATAGTTTTAAACGAAATGACATATGGAAATGCAACCGATTTTAGACGTCCATCTAAAAATGTATGATAAACTAGAATAACGGTTATACATTTAAACAAACAGCTAACATTAAATACAGCTCTAAAGAGATCGAAGCACTTCTAACAGCAATTATGAAGTGCTCTATTTACACTTGCAAGTTGGCAAAACAGGAATTGAATTTGTACCAATGATCAAAAGTCGGACGCCTACAATCAGCCCTAGTTCCCTATAATTTTATGAATTATCGGTATAGTGTTGTGAAGATTGTTGAATTTTAATTGAGACCATGAACTGAGAAACATCAGACCGCCGCTCAGTGCTTCCAGGTTTTTTATGGACATCATGTTGTATGAATTTTCGAATCTCTCCCCTAAGGTCGTCACATGCCTTATTATAATTGTCTGGCGAGTTTGTATTTATACATACTACGGTCAAATCTATTCATCTGAACACAAACAAAACAGGTACCACGAAATACTAGTTGATCTCGTTTGCAAATATTTTCTTACTTATTTTGAGTCCAAGATGAAAATATGGAAACCTAAATTGTAAGACATTATCGAAGTCCAACTGTATGTTATCCGTATGAATTAATTTCAGACAGATTTCGTCCATTGTTTAGAAAATCTACAAGCTAGCTTCATCTACGCATAATTAAAACCACAAGGAGCTATCCTTTTACAAATGAAAATTAGGAGTGAATAAACGAAAATTCATAAACGAATAGTAATTATAATGGTAAGTTGTAGAAACGTACATGAGCAATATCAAATGAACTGTTCTCAGTTATTCCAAAATTTAGAGCTTGATATTCTGATGCGTGGATTGAAGGTGCGGGTTTTGACTGATTAAGTTTATTGATGCATATTTGAAGTCTATTAATTAGAACGGAAAAGTCTTTCCCAGCCCTGTAAAGATATGCCTCATCAAATACGTTTCTGCTGTCGTTCAGAGTTTCATTATGAGACTTTCCTTTGGTATTCTGAATTGAGACTTTCGGTAATATATCTCGATTGTCATTACTGATCTCAGCGTCATAATCATCTGTTTCATATTGATTCACTATATGAGTGTATAAATAAAGTTCTTGAGACTTTTACCTTTCAGAATCTCATCAACATCTTTAAGAGCTGACGCCAAAATCCGGCTAGCCTCTAGATTACTCATCTAAATCACATATCTAGTAATTATTGACTGAAACCGTCTAGACGTGCTTGTAGGTCAATACAATCAAAGTTATGCGATTTTGACTTTTCGTGATGTTTACTACAGAACAACAAGCACATTAAAACACAGATATTTTACTTATTTTCAATAAAATAAGACAAAAAGTTTATTCTTCAACATGTAACTTGCTTATCTGATCAAAGTTTGCTTTCAGAGCAATTCGAATGGTTAATAACTCTGTTACAAGCTAGCGTGATTCATTTGCGCTCACGTTATGGAGCAAGCATACGGTACTCGGTCTTTGATATCGTCGGATATTAGTAGCCTAAACAGTCCAATTCACTAACACTGGGGCGCATAACATTTATTTGAAAGCTAGTCCGCTTTGAATATAAATGGATGCATCTGCGGTATTACATCGGGGTTAGTAGAAACAGGTGCTATTACGGGTAAGTTGTTTGGTTTAAATATGTGTTTTAGAGATAGAATAGAGAGCAGTATGGTAGTTATACTGTATCGCAAAGCTTTGTCACAAGCTTATACAAACAGATTGGTTTCTTTGAGCTCACTTTTTGCTGTTTCACTACGGTTTATGGTAACATGTATATTCAATGATTTTTGTAATGACAAAACAAAGACCAGTTTCGTTCTCCGTTTGTGATACTTTGCATGTGACGGCATTGATATTCGGCATCTGTTGTTCCTCTGTATCAGTGGTAATAAACGGGTATAATTGTCTGGCAATGCTAATATGTACACTCTACAGCTGTAATTTAAATAAGCGTTATGTCTGTCGTCTATTATTCTACTCCCTTGCTCATGGCCTATGACTGAAGATTATGATAATTTCATAGCATCATTTTAGGTCATTCTACACTACGCCATAGTTCTGGCTCAGATTAATATTGAACATTACTACCGTATTTGATCAAGTTCATCACGCTGTTGGTGCCACCACGTGCAGTGGAGCCTTCAATCAAGTGAAATCATTCGTGGTGGTTACTTTAGAGGGAGCTTACAAGCAACATTCCATAAGAATTGTTATCACTTTGTTACTTAATATACCGTTTTACTTGGAGACAGATGCTTCGGTTTGTAGTGTTGACCTTTTCTGGCATATCATTAGTAACTGAGCGTATAGTTATATCTTGAATGAGCTCTTTTGCTTGAGAATGTACATGAGTGTTCGCCATTTGATATGCAGTTTTTCGAGTGTTGCCTCGAGGAGAGTGGTTATGATGTTTTGGTAATCTGCTCGTGTTGCAGTGGTTTGGCTTACCTAGTATGTTAAGTGTCACTATCAGCTTACCTCATGCAATCCTGTAGCTCCTGAGATTTATGTCTTAGATCTATCACCCACTTGGTTGTCTGTCTCTGTGCTTGGTCCATGAGGTTTGTGCCTCTTCTAAGCAGATCGGGCGCAACGACATTGTGAACTTCACGTGGGGCCACTAGTATGTATTAAACAGTTTTAAGAACAATTCTGAGGTAATTTAGCTATATCATCTTTGCATGACGCATAGAGTTGCGCCTCCTTTGGTTGCATCTCTCAAGTACTTTGTGCCAGTGTCTATGCTTGCCGTGGTTAAAAACGTGAAATCATGCTCTGGGAAGAAAGTTAGGAGTGGATTTTCATGTATGGTGTAGGTGCGTTGTGTTGTATGAGGCACGATCTTCACGATGCTACATTGCGATAGGTTAAGTTTTAACCCATTATCTACAGAATATTCCTCTAATTTTGTAAGGTCTTTTTATAACCCAGGTGAGTCCTTGTGGTAGCTTTGGTTCCTAAACGCACGATCTTCGAGGCCGAGCATATAATTATTGCAAAAATTCACATTCGACACGTAACATTTGGAGAGGGTCAAAATTGGTGAACGTGGGGACAATTGATCAGTACGGCATGGCTCAGCCTTTCAGGCATGATCATTTAGTGAAACTCGTGCCTTCCCATATTAAATGTTATTTTCTCGTCAACCGAAATATCTTCTTCAAAAGTACTAAACATCGCGTTGCTGATTTCACGATGGGACGAGTAAGCATAGGCGATGATGCGATTTCCACGTAGGACAATATGACAAATCTACCATTGTGGGATTAGGTCTATTATTATGGTACCGAAGATAAGTGTATTAATACCAAAACATACCAAAACACTACATTGGTGAGATTGACTAAAGGAACACACATTCATTTTGAATTTATGGACTGATTTTTCACCTCTCCTATCCATGTCTGTTGTTTAATGTTCATGCGTATTAACGTATTGCAATAGTGAATAATGGTCATAGCCTAATGTTAAGAACTGATCGTCTGCATCTATGTTTATCGACGATGGTTCATTGACAAGCTTTAGAAGCATTTACATGATTCAGTGAAACAGGTTTGTGAAAACACCAACCACTAATAAATATGGCACCCAAACGACGTAAATATACATAAGCTGGCAATTAACGTAAACAAAGATTGGACGGTCATTCCCATCTAATTTGCCATCTTGTTTCTTCACTCAACACGTTACTTTATTTTAAACTATGAACCGTCTTTTAATATCCTTTCAACCAACCACTGCCTGCCTAATTTCCACTTTTCCAGTTCCATCGCTGAACAACAGGGACAGTCTTCCAGAAGTTTTAGTAAGCTTTAGCCACAAAGTTTTCGCAATATTAAGCACATTTCAGGTAGTTCGTCTAGTGAAAGCTATTTATTTGCCTGGGCTCTTTGGATTTTTACTAAATCAAACAAGTGACAAAGTCAGTAGCGTTTAGCAAACCCATGAGAGTGTTACAATACTGCATGTCTAGTCTCGTTCCTATTGGATCACTACCACTTTTCATAGCTGGTCTTTTATACTTTAAATGTTTTGGATAGCTTGAATCCCGAGAGTAATCCAGGCAAATTTTATTATTTTGCAGAATCGTTTGCCATGTTCTTAATACATGTTAGCGTGTTTATATTTTTTACTTCGATTAAGTACATATATTTCATATGAACCACTTTAAAAATCGTTTTTCGCTTACGTTATAAATAATAGCTACAAATGACATCATACTCTTACGAGAAAGTGTACTGTTTACAGAAGACCAACATCAGATTCGAAAAAATCCGACACTTCTAAATTCTGATTATCATTACATGTTCATGAATGTTACTACGCTAACTACAGCAACCACTTATGAAACTTTTACACGATACCTAGCATGTTTCGAACTGTGGTTCCATAAATCATGTCTCAACTTTGGAATATTTTCTGTCAAGTTTTTTGTTGTTATATTTCTCATTAGAATAGATATTGAGCTGACATTTACATGGGCTGTATTATATCATCTTCATACGATCTCGGTTTAACACTTATTTGGATCGCCTTCAGCATCTTCCACCAAATTCTTGATAGTCGTTATTGTTATGAATATTTGGGTTTAGGGACTAAACTATCACAGTTGCCCAAAGAGACGTTTAACATGGTTAACACAATAAATTCACCGCAGTAGGATAACATCGTACTGCATTGGTATAATAACTAAAATATCACGTAAATTTTTGTCAAGAAAATATTCAAAATAAAAACTATGGAGCCTACTGCTAAAATTAACTCTAAGTATTCAAGTATTTCCGGACCGTAATTTGAAATATGATCAGGCAGCTCGGATCCATTAATGCTAAAAACTCCTGATATTTCCTAATCACGTAACACAGCGATACACATTCCCCAATAGCTAATTATCAATGAACACTTTAATTATTTATTCAAAATGGTTTCTAGATATCGTCATAAACATTATTACAACTTGATAATCACGAAATGTGATTGACAAAACTGACGAAACTATCAACACAAACTCGGCTGCCAAACTGACTTTTAGTTATCAGTGAGTAGTGTTTTCTCATAGTTATCTCTATCTATTGTCGATTATTTCGGTATGCTTTTTTGTCGATTGCTCATTTAGTAAACATCTTCGGACCCTATCAGTCTATTAGAAGTTTAATGACACAAACATTCAAGCAAATCATCGGTATAAATAGTCCAGCAAATCCCTTGAATACCGAGACATTCTTGTCGAATTAACTCCAACACTGACAAAGGTTCATACCATTATCACAGACGTGAATTGGAAGTTACACTCCTTCGGTTATAATCTGTACTCTCCCTGATAATCACATGAGCAGCACTTACCTGTTCGTCATCTTGCGAAGACTTGTATGGCCAAAAGTTCATGTGCCACATCCTTTTCGCTTTAAAAGGATCTACAGATCTTTAAATAATATACATAGGTCAGTGACACGGAGTTAATTTCATCTAACAAGTCATTAAGGAAGATCAAACATAGGAGTGGGAATAAGACTGTTCTTCTAAGAACCCTGTCGCGCTCAATTTTTAATATTTCTACACGGTTACAGTTCCTTGGTAATACGCAGTGGGTGATAGTCTAGCCGCTCGCCTGAACTTATTCCAGTCGTTTTGGTGGCGATTTGTGAATTTCTAAATCTTGCAGTTTGAGCGATTGAGTTTGTCTCAGGACGGTATAGTTTTTAGATATCAAATTAAGTGACCCAAATCGGAGAAATTCTGAAAACTACAGGCAGAAGTTTTAAATTTTCTAGATGACTAGAAAAGGTATTCTAGACACTTTTTGGTCAGGGTGCGTATGGTTTACTTAAGAATCTAGCTTACCCATAGAAACCAATTTCAATGATATATGGATTTCTTATAGAATTAATACCTAGTAATGCTCAGTACGTCAGCTTTATGTGCAGACAAAAATGAACACTACATAGGTTAGTGAAACAAAATGATCAGAAATTTGGAGACTTCATATCTGGAAGGCAAAACAGGCCGAAAAGTGCGATTTTGTGAACAATTTTAATATCTAAGACCATGGTATTTTGTTTGCTGGTACGTATATTAAGAATTAGGAAAGAGAGTTAAATAATAAACCTTAAAGTTCATATGATAGATTGTCTAGTCTCCACAATGCATCAAACTCCTCAACCCACACCATTTCGCCTGTGTTTATTAATGACATTCACCTGTAACAGCTCAGGTTGGTTGGTTAAGAGTTGACCCCAAACAACCAAGCTTATACCAAAACAGTATTGTTCAAGTATTCATTCACTTCCTTATTTT